CTCCAGTTCTAGGGAGATCTGACATCCATGACGAGCAAGCACCTGGGCTCACACCTGCACAGACGGAGCTCCCCCTCACACACATACGTACAACACTTAAAAAGTAAAAATAAATGTTTCTACAAATATGAAGAGCTAATGCTTCATGAATGTCAAGTAATCGAACAGTGCCCAAGATGGAGTATATGATTTTTTTTTTTTTTTTTTGTGCAACGGTTTCAATTTTAGTGCTGTTCAAACCTCCGGGTCTGGGAGTTTCTTTCTTCACTCTGGCCTCAGCTCCCACCCCACCCCACCCCACACATCCCACCCCACACATCCCACCCCACACCATGTCCCTGTCCTTGAGGTCTTCAACTGGGTCACACGTGGCAATGCCCCCTTCCCCCATACTCCTTCCTGGTGAGTGCGACCTCCAGGAAGACACAAACCGCTGTTGAAGAAGATCTGTGGATCACCGAGTTTTATATTCTTCTGCCCAGAAGAATCATCTGGGCTCAGTACCCCATGGGTGGGGGCTAGGCAGCAGAGGCTGGATCTTGGCAGGTTCCCTAGACACACAATGCCCCCCCGACATGTAGTGATTCCCTTTAGAGACCCTCACAAATTTTGCTACTCACAAAGACGTACGTATTTTGTCGTTTTTTTTTTTTTTTTACAATGTTGTACTTTCAAGAATTCGTAGCTACCACCCAAGACTGGAGTTACCAGCAACCATCATGGATTAGAGAGAAGTTCATGGGCCCCTCCCTATTCTCCCCCACTGAACTATGGACCGGCAACTAACGGATTCTGGGGGAGAAACAGTTGTTGCCTTCAGTTGTGTACCAAACAGTGAGCCCGTTAGGCTCCAGGAGATTGTTCCAAACTGCAGCCACACAGCCGGCCCTGTTAAAATCAGTGGGTCATGGAACAGAAAGAGGTAAATGTGGGAAAGCAGCCTGTTACGGGGTAGGGTGTAGGAGAAATGTAAGAAGTTGCGGAGTAAGAGCAAACAAATGCACTCATAACACGTGTGTGAAATTACCAAAGAAAAATACAACCAACAACAACAGTAATGGCAATAATAATAACGATGGAATTGGCAAACACACCCTCTGCAAGTTTTTTGTTAAAAGACACTGAGACCCGTGGTAGGTTCTCACACATACATGCTGGTATAGCTTCACACTTTGGAAAAATCCGACCACATTTTCGGTGCCAGCGACACTTTTTTTTTCCGGAGAAAAACGGAGGGGACCCTAGCGAACAGACACAACCCCATTTGCACAGTTATATGCCAAGGAAACTGAGGAATCTGCCCACTCAGCCTGGCATCTATCTATAAACGCTGAGACCCCCCTCCAAGCGCACTCGAGTGTGGACAGGCACACAAGCCATCCACAGAATGACATTCTAGAACTCCCAGTCACCCTCCTGAGAGAAGAGCTCTCTCTGGTTGACTCTAAGGCTGACCCCCCAGCTTCATTTGGGATCCAGTGGTAGACCCCCATCAAGTGATGAGCCCACAACTGAGTGCAATGCATACTTACTTGCTGAGGATGCACGAAACTTTTTCTAAGCACCCTTCTCATCCGGGGATCTTCATACTCGGTCCTGTGTGGAGCCCCACACACAGCCTAAGGCCCCTAAGGGTCTCTCTCGAAAATCATCCTTCATGGACCCATCAAATCAAGTGACTAACTGGTTCTTCTGGTTCCCCGCTGACCTTTTTAAAGTCTGTGAAGACTCCTCCCATTTCCTCCTGGCCCATTAGAATAACACGCCTCAAGGGCTCCTAGATCGCTCTTCACAAAGCCTGACTTGTGTCTTGAAGAGCCCATCACATCCCCTCCTCTGAGCCAACTCTAGTTTCCTCCTGGTGTCTAGGGACATCCAGGAACTTGGTTGCTCTGGAACTCCTCATTTCCCGATATGGATCCCTGCCTACCCTTCACCCCCCCACTCCCCTACTCCCACCCCCCAACCACACCCCCAACAGCTGCAGGCACATTTTCGCAAATAGGAAAGACACTGGTGTCTGGTGCCTTCCACTGCCCAGTAGCTATCCTGCTGTGGTTGATTTCTATAAGTGCCTCAGTCCTGTAACAGGATATTTCTGCCTGAATTGGGACTGTGGAGCTGTCTTCTGGGTGTGGGTTGAAATTATCCAGGGTTTCATGCTGGCCACAGGCCCCTGGGTAGGGGTAATGGCTTGCCTGGTTCAGGTTTAGTTAATAGACATCCAGATAGTGCATCAATATGCTAATGACCAAACTTATTGATCACATAGACCGGCCCCTATATGCATGAACTATCATATTACCCTTACCTACACTTAAGCAAACAGACACACACACTCAGACACACGTAAGCTGCACCCAAGACTACAGCATCAGTCACGTACAAATCAGTGAGAAGCAACTATACACAAACCCAGGCCACATAAATTCCCACATTTGAGTTGAGCCCCAACTCCTTCAATGGTACCAACACATTCCCCCGACATACCACAGACACAAAGGCGACCTAAAATCCACACAAACACCCCCTGCCAGGCACAGTATGAACTCACAGTCTGGAACCATCTAGGTGGCTCAGCTGGAAAGGTGATCGCTGCCCATCCAGCCTTACAATCCCAGTTCCATCATCAGGACCCACGTGGTAGGAGAAAACCAACTCCTGAAAGTTGTCCAAAGACCGCACACACGCACAAACGCACCAGTCAATAACTGTAATTTAAAAATTCACACTCACAATCCCACACAGTAGTAGGAAACAGAGTCAGGCCCAACTACAAACACGCCACCAGACAAACACGGCCTCGTACAACCAAACTCAGCCACATTGGCGCAGTTGGGCAAAACTCAACAACCACAGCTCACACGTGTGCATAAAATCGGATACGGTTACAAAGTCTAACACAAGCTCACACAGATCCTCACCAGGAGAGAATGTGTTCAAACCGTGTTCAAACATCCCAGCTAGCACCAGCTACAACCACACAGGAGGGACAAACTAAGCCGCCCATGAACTTAAACTTGTGTAGGAATGCACATTTTACAGGGTCCAGACCCTCCAAATCGGAGTTACACAAATCCCCATAAAGTAGCAAAAGTGTCTAAAAAGTTATGCCACACTCTTCCCTCGCACATTTCCCTACCCAGACCACTGTCCTCGACAGAGCCGTGACAAGGTGGGGTCCCAGGCCGCCGCATGCAGGCACCCTGGCCTCTCCCGTGTCCTTGCCTCTCATCCCCGCGCTCCGTTCTCCAGCCGCCGCACTCTCCTCCAGGCACCGCAGCCCGCGGTCACCCGGAGTAGAATGCCGCGGGAAGACTTTCAAACCCAAGTCCCCTAGCTCGAGGGCACCACCCACAGGACTACATGTCCCAGAAGCTCGCGCGCCGCCCAGCCCGCGGCTTCTAATCTATAAGGCGGCCAGAGTGGGGGAGGGCGGGGGGGGATACAGTGCGCTGGGCCCTATGGGAAATGTAGTCCCCAGTAAGATGAGCGCGCTAAGTGCGCTCTACAGCCGCTGCCCCTCTGTGGCTCCGCTTCTGTGGCTGTTGAACTATTGCGTCTCCTGGCGGAAAATTTGCCTTCGGTTGCAAAATTTCTACACTGATAGAGGCCTATGGTAGGAAAGGAAAGGATTTTTTTTCAGGCTACGTAATGATACACTGGGGGAAAGTGGTTTCGTTTGCTTTGGGATAGGGTTCCACTTATGTAGACCAGGCTGACCTCAACCTCAAGATCCTCTTGCCTTAGCTTCCCAAGTGCTGGGATTACTGGGGTGAGTCACCCGCCAATCTGCTTCTGTTTTCACTTCTTTACTTCTGAACCTACATTTCCATCATGGCCACAGCATAGGTTTGGGGCATATTTCCCGGCTGGCAGAGAAACTCCTCAACTTCCACAAGTGCCATCCCCTCATTGCGGGTCACGGCTGGGCCTGATGTATGGATTTATAGGTCATGGGGGATGTATGTCAGGGGGAGGAAAATGTGTCCGTTATTACTACAGCTATGCCATTAATGTCTCTTCATATTCAAACCCAGTGTCTCGGGGTTTCTCTCTTGAAGGTGATGTATAAACGCCCTTATCCCTCGAAGCTCACTTTAACCAACAGAATGAAGTGGGTAGCGCCAATTCCAAGTGTCAAACAGTTCACTGATACTCCTGCACGTCTGCCGGAATGAATGAATGAATGATCATAGGTCACCAAGTCGAAGTGTGGTGATTTGAACGAAAAGGGTCCCCAAGGGGAGGTGTGGCCTTGTTGGAGGAAGTGTGTCCCTGGGGTTGGGCTTTGAGGTTTCAGGAGCTCAGGCCAGGCCTAGTGGCTCACAATCTGCTGCCTGCAGCTACAGATGTGGAGCTCTCAGCTTCCTCTCCAGAAGCATGTCTGCCCGAATGCTGCCATGCCTGCCACCATAATGACAACGGGCTAAATCTCTGAACTGTAAGCCAGCCCCAGTGAAATGGTTTCCTTTGTAAGAGTTGTGGTGGTCATGGTGTGGCTTCACAGCAACAGAAACCCTCACTGAGACAGAGATCAACTCCAAAATCCACAACTGTGGAAGGAGAGAACTGACTTCCAGAAATTGTCCTCTGACTTCCACAGGGACACACATATCCACACACAATAAGTAAGTACATAAATAAATAATGTGTGATAAAAAAAATAGTCTCCCATGCTCAGTCGATAATGCTGTCAGATTGACAGGATCTATAGTCACCTGGGACATGGGCTTCCAGGCGTGCCTGATGAGGGAGAGGGGGACTATCTTGATTGTGCTAGATGTGGGAAGCCCCTTCTTAACTGTGGGCAGAACCATGATTCCCTGGTCAGGGGATCTTAGACTGTATAAAAGGGAGACAGTGAACAGATCAACAGCTTTTATCACTCTCTGCGTCCTAATTGTGCATGTGACAGGACCAGCTGCTTCAGGCCCCTATTGCCTTACCCTCTACCCTCTTGCTCCCAGGATGGGCTAAACTATGCCTTGCACTGTGAGATAAAATCAACCCTTTCTCCCTTAAGTTGCTTTGGTCAGAGCCTAGATCAGCTCACAGACAGTCACCGCCAGACATAAAAGCAGGCCCGGTTAAGACAAGCGGTGTCCCCTGGTCCACCTTGAGCTTGTCCCAGAAGTATGAACAAGAAGCACTTCTGTGCCACTGAAAAGTTGGGGTTTTTTGTTTCGTTTTGGTTTGGTTTTTGAGACAGGGTCTCATTGTGTAGCCCAGGCTAGCCTCAAATCCAGAGAGCTACCTGCCTCTTGAAGGCGGGAATTAGAGGTGTGTACTTACCACGCCCCCCAGCTAAGTAGATCTATGGTTTAAGGTTCTCTTGCTTTTATGTGTTTGTTTGCGCCTGAGGGCGTGCATATGCACCACGTGTGCAGGTGCCTGTGGAGGCCAGAGGAGGGGGGTTGAATCCCCTAGAACTGGAGTTGGGTGGTTGTGAGTCACCCCCATGCCTTGCTATGGTGGCCATAGCAAGCGGATGCATGAGATGTGAGTGGTGTATAAGGCAGGCAGTAAGTTCATGAATATTAACGTGAGGCTGGCACATGCAGGGGTGTGGGAGGCCCAGTCTCGATGTAGGCGATGTCTCTGCTTGATGGAGGGTGCAGTATTGCCCTCGCTGTAGTAAAAGTGACTTTAATGTGACCAACTTTTGTGACATCAGATGTCTGACTGGAGGCGGGTAGAGCCTTCCTGGGGAGGGAGCTGGTTTCGTCTGCCATTGCTGATACCATGTTACAATTGTTTTCCACTTCACAACATTCCTTCCTAGAAGGAATCAGTTTACATTCAGTATTCAGCAGTTCTTGGATAGATTGTGTCTTTTGGCCAGTGAGTGGATAATTGGTATGCTGCGGTTTGGGGTGGGAGTCTCATAGTGCTTGTGTGTTAAAGGCATGGTCTCCCACCTGGACTCTATTGGGAAAGTGACAGAATGTTTGAGAAGTGGAGCCTAATTCCCAGTCCTTGGGTCACCAGGGCATATCCTTGTGGGATTCTGGTTCCTTAGTCGCACTTTTACCTCCTGGTTTGTGAGCAGAGTACTTTATTCTGCAAGGGCACTCCCACCCTTGGCCACCCTTGCCCCCTCAAAGCGATGGAACCATTTGACATCGGGCAGCAATCTTAAGCCAAAAATAAACCTTGTCTGTGTGTAAGTTAATTGCCTCTGGCATTTCATTATGGCAATGGGAAGGGTAGACCTTTCAGTGAGACTCTAAAGGAGAAGCGGGCATTGGGAACCCAACTTGCCCTGGCCGTATATCTCTTCAATATATCCAGCTCTGCTCTATATGATCACTTACCTCATTAGCTATTAGTTTCTTTTGATTATGGCTGGGCATTGGGAACCCATGGGTGCACATCAGCTGATGCTAGCGAGATGGTAAATCTCACGCAGTAAATGTGGCGGCAGGGAGTTAATTACATCTTCAAGTGAGGTGTAGGGAGAAGGAAGACTTTTTTAGGAGTGTAAAGGTTGGTCGTGCAATCTCCAGGGACACACATTCCATTTCTTTTCTCCCTTACCTTCTATCAGGGCACTCTTTAGAAAAATTCTGAAAAAGGATGAATCGCGTGCCTTGACCTATGCTGAAGTCCCTTGCTATGACTATTCAAGAATGTTCCTGTGGTAGTTGGAGTGTAATTGGCCCCATAAGCTCAAAGAGAGTGGCACTATTAGGAGGTGTGGCTTTGTTGGAGTGGGTGTGGCCTTGTTAGAGGAAGTGTGTCACTGTGGGGACTGGCTTTGAGGATTCCTATGGTCCGGATACTGCCCAAGGTCTTAGTTGACTTCCTGTTGCCTGCAAGCTCCTTCTCTGCCACCATGTCTGCATGCGTGTCACCGTGCTCCCGACATGATGACAATGGACTAAAACTGTGAGCAAACCACCCCAATGAAATTTTTTTCCTTTATAAGAGTTGCTGTGGTCAGGGTGTCTCTTCACAGCAATGAATCCTCCAGGAAAAGAGCCAAGACCTGCTGAAATGCTTGCAGAGGATGAAGGAAATACAAAATGGGTAGTAGAGGAAGGTAGTTCTAAATGCCATCTAAGGCCACATGACCAGTAGTAGAAAAGAGGGTTATAACTGACATGAGTACTTCCGCTGTATTTTGTTAAGACTGTCTTCCTACAGATATTTGTGTTTTCTTTCAATTTCCTTATCATATTTTGTAACATCACTCAAGAGAATATCAATGGTTGTCATATGTCAGCTTGAGATACTAGAAGGATGTCTACCAAGGGCCATTGCCACTACTGATGTTATTATTATTATATTTTCTTCATTTATTTCACACACCAACCAGAGCTTCCCCTCCTTCTCTCCTGTTCCCTCCCCCCACCTCCTTCCTACCCCCCCCCATCCACTCCTCCTTCTTCCATTCAGAAAGGGGCAAGCCTCCCATGGGAGTCAACAAAGCATGGCATATCAAGCTAAGCAGGACCAAGCTCCTCCCTCTGCATCAAGGTTGGATGAGACAACCCAAGATGGAAAATGGGTTCCCAAAAGCCAGCTCAAGTATCAGGAACAGGTCCAGATCCCATTGCTAGGAGCCCCACAAACAGACCAAGTTACACAACTGTCACACATGCAAAGGGCATAGGTGACATTCAGTCCCATTCAGTCTCCCTAGCTTTGGCCCAAGTGGATGAGCTCCCACAGGCTCAGGTCAGCTGTCTCTGTGAGTTCCCGTCATGACCTTGACCCTCCTGGCTCATATAATCCTTCTCTCTCTTCAACAGGACTCCTGAAGCTTAGCCTCCCAGTGCTTGGCTGTGGATCTCTGCATCTGCTTCCATCAGTTACTGGATGAATCATTGCCACTATTCTAAATTTAAGATGTGTTTGCAGTTGTATGAGAGATAGTTCTATCATGTTAGGTGTAATTATGACCTGGTTAAATATATAATGCATTTGTGATTATATGTTTAAGTATAATTATGACCTAGTTATTGCCTTCCACTTGGAAATTGATCATGACATAAGGAGATATGATTGTGTATCAAGTTGACAATGGGTGGATTGTGATGGCTATTCCTGGTTGTCAACCTGACTATATCTGGAATGAACTACAGGCCAGAAATGGAGGGCACACTTGTGATCTGGACCTTGAGGCAATAGGACAACTTGCATTTGATATGGATCTTGAGGCTGGATGACACATGCCTCTAATCCAGACCTTGAGGGTGGAAGGCACACCATTAATCTGGGCCACACCTTCTTCTGGAAGTCTCTATGAGGACAATGGAAGAAGGAAAGAGGTGTGTTCATTCTTTACCTGCTTGGCCTTACCTTGTCAGCATATCCATTCATTTGCTGGTACTGGAACCTACTTCTTTGGGATTCTGGCACATACAGACCAGCTGAGACGCCTAGCCTTATGGGACTGAGCAATGCTAGAGTCTTGGACTCAGCCTTTAAGTCATTCCAATAAATTCTGTGTGTGCGTACATCATGCCCCTAAAAGAATAGGAAGTGTGGCCTTATTGGAGGAAGTATGTCACTTGGGTGGCTTTATAAGAGTTACATGGTCACGGTGTCTCTTCTTAGCAAAAGAACACTGACTAAGTCAGGTGCCAATGAGGTCACCATAATTCAATGAGGCTTCATTTTTGCGTAAATAAAAGTTTTAGAACTATGAAAACATTCAGGACTCTGCCAGAGGCCAGAGTGACTAGAATTCAGAGAAATTTACACTGTCCTATCTTAAGAGCCAAGTCCAATTGTGGACTGTGGAGGGTGAGTAGAGGAAGTGGGGTGAGCACATTTGAGTTATGGAATCAGAGATGCAGCAGCCGTGGAGGGTATGGTCTTCCCATCGTAGTCACCTACAAGAATCCAGTGAGCTAACAGGCTTTACATTGCTTGTCATTATAAAGCTACAAGCATGCGTAATAATTAATTCTCAGAGGACTCAGCTGATGGCCCAGTTGAAATAGTATTTTCCATTCAAACATGAGGACCTGGGTTTGATACCCACAACTCACATAAAAAGCCAGGCGTGGCAGCACAGACTTGTAATGCCAGCACTTTGTTTTTGTTGTTTGGGGGTGGGGGTGGGGAAAAGGAACACTGGGGGTCACTGGTCAGTCATGCTGGCTTTATCAGGGAACTTCACAAGGTGGGTACCCAAGGGATGGCACAGCCAAGGTTAAGCTCTGGTCTCCATGCACATTACACACACACACACTCACCTTCTCCAACATAGATAGCTAGGATAACCAGCTTGATGGGGGATGTCCTTCTGTGTATACGTTTGTCTGACTGGTTGATAATAGGGAAGCAAGATTGGTGGGATTAGGAGACAAGGAGGATTCTGGGAAATGTAGTCAAGGGTAGAGAGTCGCCATGTGATCCCGGGAGAGGGCGCAAGTCTGGCATTCTTGGTAAGATAAGACCTTATAAAAATATATATTAGTAATTATGGGTTAATAATTAAGTCAGAGCTAGCCATTAAGAAATCATAGCAAATGGCCAACAGTTTCATAATTAATATAGTGTCTCTGTGTATTATTTGCGGTTGATGTGGCTCTGGGCCCAGGCTGGTGGGAAGAGCACATGTTGCACCAGCTTAACTGTTATGTTCCTGGTGGTGAATCTAGGCTGAAATAATGAGCTGAAATAAACCCTTTTTAGTCTTCTGTAAAAGTTAGGAATAAATGCCTCATTGCAACGTTAGACCCGAATATTACTATTCTTATGTTGATGATTCATGAACCCTTGTTTTACAGAATCTCATATTTCTGATTAAAAATGCCCCCTTCAACTAACCTAAACATATTCATGACTATAATAAAATTTAAAACCACTACTGGGTAGTTATGATGTAGTATGATTAAAATATGATTTAGTCTTCGAGGTGCAGTTAAAAATATGAACCCAAGTAGAATCCATAGATCCTTGAGAATTGTTGAAATATGCAATGCTTACAAAAAAGCACTTGTGACAAAAGCATTAAAATCCAGAATCCACCCAGAGCCTGCAGCTGTTGCACGCATCTGTAATCTCAACACTTTTACAGACGTCCCTTGAGGAGGCTGGGACGGGAGGAACCCAAAAGTTTGCCAGCCATCTACCCTGGGATCCAAGTGGGAAACAAAAGGAAACTTCTTCTCAAACAATGGGAAGGGGGGGCATTGACACTTGAGGCTGTCATCTGACTTTCACACCCACGCTGGGACATGGTATATGTGCCTACACTCACACACAAATATCCATGCATGTACGTATGTGCACACAAAGTTTTTTTTTTTAATAATAAGATTTGTAAGTCAAACTTTGTAGGGTTAAGGGGCCACTGACATTTTGAATTTGTAACTTTATCAACGGCAGCAAGTCCCCACAATGCTACCAAGCCCAAACACATAAACTAGAAACAGAAGAGACTGAGAGTTATCTTATTTTTAACTTTATTTTTATTGTTGACACTATTACAATATAGAACAACTACAACCATATTAACAAACCAAAAGCCTGTGCACAGAAACAAGACAAAGAAAATATATTGAGATGTTAACACAGTCTTTGGGTGATGAAAATATGGGTGAGTTTCTCTTCTACAGTTCCACATCTTCGAGGCTACTAGGATGGACACATACTGCATATATAATGGAAATATAAGCAATAAGGGCAGCCTACTTGAACACTATGTTAAAGACCCCTCAAAGAAACTGAGAAAACACACTTCACTGTAATCCTGTCACAGTCAACCCCCGCTATTCCGCACTTCTCCACTTTTCTTCCGTCTGTTGACACTATGTACTTTTCGGTGGACACCCTAATAATCACACACGTGGTGCACAGATCCAGGTGTTACCAGGAACTTGTTGGAAAAACAGATGGTTTTTTTTCTCCTTCACTAGTTTTCCCAGTTTTCTTTGAGTATGTCTTATACTTGTGATGCAGAATACATACATAAAGTTTGTTACCCAGACACCAAAGATTATTCAAGAAATTTGGAACAAAGTATTTACCCATGAACCACCCCCCAACACTATTTTTAATTGTTTCCCATGTTTCTTTTTGTTTTATACGTTACGCAAATCTATTTAACACTGTTTTAATCACAAGTTTGTGCGATGACACAAGGTGGAGGACACAGGTGAAGATCTTAACAGTTGTTGGATGTGGGGAATGGGGACAGATTTTTCTGTTCAATTTTACTGTATTTTCCAATTTTTCACCGGGTACATAGTATGCTTATAATGGTGGCATTACATACTAAGCCTTATTATCAGGAGACTATTACAGGGAGCATACAGATCAAGGTATTTTACCGTAATTACACAGGAGTACTAGAACAACTATCTTGAATACACATTTTGACACAGTTAGAATATATAAACCTGTGCACAGCAACAAGAAAAACAAGATATTAAGGAGTATATCTATCTTTGGATGGTGGGGACATGGATTATCTTTCCTCCACTTTTCTGTTATTTCCCATGTTTCATTAATTAACTCCAATTATGTTCATGATGGAAATGTGATCCTTAACTTTTGAGTAACACTACCATAAAGAACATTCTAGAAATTTAAGAAAATAATGCTCGACTATAAGCCTACAACAACACAATAGCTTTTGACTATAAGCGTACATTTTAAAACAGTTATAATTGTAGTATAAATATAATTTTTGTGTCCTGCCTTCTCCACCTCCTATCCTGTGAATATCCACTACCCAACTCTTCCTGATTATCGCTTTTAAACAACTGCATCAGAATCCAGGGCACTTCGACATAATTCTTCTCCTACAGTCTGGCATTCCAGTTGTTCCTAATCTTCTACTCACTCAGTTATGGTTAGAGTGGACACTCAGACTTCTTGACGAGTTGCTTTCTAAAAAGGAGCTAGTGGGGTAACACTGTCAATGATAACGAATCCCCAGACTTCCCCAGATGGTATCAATGCTGACTTCCATTTCAAGGGTGCTCCCCCAACGTACCATTGCCTCCGTTTCCCTGGATGTCCGTTCCTACGTGGGGTCTCTCTATGCAGCTGGTCTTCACCCATGCCATGCCACCAAGAAGGCCTTTCTTCCAACGACCCAGGACACTTCTTTCAACTCCTTCTCACCACCTGCCCTTCAGCCCCTGCTGAGGGTGCTTTCTCTAGTCTGTCTTGTCACCTTCCTAGATCTGCTGTCATCCCGGGACTCCCCTCTTTGGCTCGCTGCGTTCTTGCCCATCGCTCATCAACCTCCAAGGACGTTGCCATTCCTTGAGGCGGTGGCACGCTCCCCGTGAGCCCCAGTCCTACAGATCTAGAGGCCTAAAAGAGTCAGACCCCTTTCCTCAGCAGGCACCTCACTTCTCTCTCTCTCTCTCTCAGATGATCTGTACACGGCTTTCGATCTTTCAGCTACAGATCCACTTCATTATTTTTTTTTAATTTTTTAAAACTTTTTAAATTTTTTTTTCCCCAGCCAACAGAAGGCCAAAAAATTGTCTTTATATAGCCATTATGCGAGGGGAGGGGAAGTAAAGGAGCGCAGGCAATCCATAGAAGGACGCAGGAAATCTCAAGCTGGGAAGTCAGTTTGTGATCAAGAGGACAACTGCTGACATCCGGACAGACACACGGGACACCGAATGGAAAGCTCAGCAATACTGAGGAGGGCTCAATGAGAAAGAACAATGGTAACAAAAAGAAATTAAGGCTGCCGGGGAACCTGAGTCCATGTTAAGCTAGGATTAACTATAAAGAAAGCTTGTGTGTGTGTGTGTGTGTGTGTGTGTGTGTGTGTGTGTTTGCTTTTTTAAAATGCAAGTCTGACTTAGGGTTGACAGACACAGCGAGGACAGGGGGTTAAGTGTGGGGACACAGAGATCTAAGGATACGGGCTCCTGGGCACCCCGGGAGCACACTGACTTGTGGCAAGCACATACAACAGCACGCAGGTGACTCAAGGACGAGGACGAGGACGACACTGCCACTTGTCACTTTAAGGCAGGAAGCGCACAGCAGAGCTAATGAAAGGTTGCCGGCCTGCTTCCTTATCTACACTGTAAGAGCCTCTCGTGTGGTTCCCAACCTTCATTAGGCACTGCTGTGATCTAGCGATGGTTGTCACCCACTCTTTAAAGGCAAAGACATTAAGATTTACAGGGCAAAGCTTCAGGTATCACGAATTCACTATCAAACACACGATGAATTGGTTAGAAAACAGGAACCCAAACCTTAAAGAACACCTCAAATGTGTAACATGGGGTGGGTTTTTTTTGTTGTTGTTTTTCTGTTTTTTGTTTCTTTTTTTGCATGAAAACCACTGTAAGGTATATAAAATGTGGTGATGGGTTGGGCCGCAGAGACAAACCCACATACTGGAAAGGGTTACACAGTCAGTCTCAAGGGGGTTGGGAGCACACCAAGTGGCTGCGTGTGGGAGCTAAAATGTCTGTTTTCACGCAGCCAGGACTTAACGACACGCGGCGTCTCACACTCACACCTTCACAGGACTATCTAAGAGGTAGGGGAGAAAACGGTCCATTACTGGGGAGGATACTAATGGGGTTCAAACGGTGCACAGTAAAGCTTCCGCAGGATGGACAACACTTATGAATATATGCTAAATTGTTGCTCTCTTCCTCCTCAGGGAAAAAAAAATTCAGAGCACCGGGCTAGGTAGCTCTGTCGAGTAAACTGTAAATTCTATAGCACACTAAATCCAAATATATATGTATCATGGGTTCACTGTGGTTTGCTCATCTATGTACACGGCAGGAGTCATTATGTATAGGGTATGAGAGGAGTGTCATTTACAGTCGATTGGGGCAACCTCTGTGGTCCCGAATAGTCAGTCACTGGGTTTTCCCTCAATCTAGTTACTCAGATGAAGAGTGAAATGTGGGCTCTAGCTTTCCCGAGTGTTCGGAAGGGAAGAGCCAAGACCAAAAAGAGTCTGCATCCAATCTCTTTTTGGTTTCAGTCTGCGTGATTCGATGAGAAGTCCGGCATGGGTATAGCAAGGCGGGTTTCTATTAACATTATGGGTTGGTGTAGGCTCTCTCTGTGATTTGTTAAGGGTCTGGTTCTGGGAGGAAGGTTTGGTTTTGTTATTGTTGTTGTTTTTCCCTCGGCCTGGATTCTCAGCCAGTGTGAGAATTCTGGTGCCTGGCGAGGGAGAGGCGGTCGTGGAAGACCTGCCCGCACACGTCGCATTTGAAGTACTTCTCATCGGCCTGCTCGGCGCCACCGGCGCTGGTGCTGGCGCGTTCAATGTAGCCGGAGCACTCCCCGGGAGCGTTGGCTGGCTCGAAGATGATCACGCTGGCGTGGCTTTTGAGATGCTCGCCAAAGGCTGCGCTGGTAGCGAAGGTTTCCGTGCACTCGTGGCAGTTGTAGAACGGTTCTTCGACCTCGATCTCTTGATCTTCTCCTTCTTCTTCTGGGTCTCCGACGTCTGCTCCGTCGGGCTCATCCGCATCTCCCTCGGGCTCTTCAACCTCTTCCTCGGGCTCGTCGACTCGCTCTTCTGGGTCTTCGATCCCGGCTCCGTCCGGTTCATCGGCATCGCCGTTGGGCTGCTCCGCCTCTCCGTTGGGCTGCTCGGCTTCTCCGTCCGGCTCCGCCGCTTCTCCGTCTGGCCCTTCGGCCTCTCCGTTGGGCTCCGCGGCCTCCACCTCGGGCTCCGCGGCCTCCACCTCGGGCTCCGCGGCCTCCACCTCGGGCTCCGCGGCCTCGGCATTGGACCCCTGGACCCTCAGGACCTCTTGTGGAATGAGGACGTTGGCTTCGACCTCTCGGGCGGTGGCGGCGACTATGTCCGATGCGCCGTCCCGCTCGGGGTGAAACACCATCCGCTCGGCCACGACGGTGTCGTCTAGGAAGGAATGGCCGCAGTCTTTGCACTCGTACAGGGGCATGCGCTTCCTGAGCGGCTCGGTGAGGAAGGAGGCATGGGTGTAGGAGGGCCCGTACTCGTAGGGCTCGTCCTTGTGGACTTTGGTGTGGTGGTCTCCCAGCTGCTTGGCGGTGAAGAAGCACTCGCCGCAAATGGTGCACTCGAACAGCTTCTCCTCCGTCTCGCTTCCCTGGTACTCGGTGAGGGCCAGGCCCTGCATGAAAATCTCCTCCGCCAGCTCACCGTGCTCCATGGCCTCGTCGTCGCGGTGGTGTCGCATGTGCTCGTTGAGGGCAGAACTGTGAATGAAGCCTTGCCCGCACTGACGGCAGCGGATGGCGGAGCCAGCCACGGCGGGGTTCACCTCGGCGGCCCGGTTCCTCCGGGGCCTCGCGGGCATGACGGCCACCAGGCCGTCGTCGGGGGCCTTGGCAGAGCCCAGCTGGTCCTGCTCGTGGACTCGCTGGTGCTCGAAGAGCAGCGAGCTGTGGATGAAAGACTCCCCGCACTTGGGACACTCGTACAGCTTCTCTCCCGAGTACTTCTTCTCGAATTCGCTCACCGAGCGGACGTGCACCTCCGAGTGTGCGTACTCGCGGCTGTCAACCAGAGACTTTCGGCTGTGCACATCCTGGTGGCTGGTGAGGTCGGCCAGGTCGGCGAAGCCCAGGCCGCAGTCCTGGCATTCGTAGATGGTGTCGCTCGCGTCATCCTTCTGGCGCTCCTCAGGGCTTGAGGCCTGCATTGGGATGTCGTCGACTTTGGCCTGGCCCTGGGGCTCGTCGCCCTGGGTCTCTTCGCTGCGCATCTCCTGATCCACGGGCTCCTTGTCCTGGGGCTCGTCGCCGTGAGGCTCCTGGCCGTGGGGCTTGTCGCCCTGGGTCTCTTCGCTGCGCATGTCCTGGTCGAGGGGCTCCTTGTCCTGGGGCTCGTCGCCGTGAGGCTCCTGGCCGTGGGGCTGCTTACCCTGGGGCTCTCTGTCGTGAATCTTCTGAGTTTCTTTAGCATGGGGTTCCTCGGCATAATGCTTCTGCTGGGCGTAGATCTTCTGAACACTGAGGCTGTTGTTGCTGGTAGCAGAGCGCTGTCCAAACGCTCTGAATTTGCGCACTTGCTCCTGAACGAAACGCTCCTGGGCGTAGCTGGTCTGAGGGTCGGCCGGGGCCAGGCTGCGGATGACAGATCGCTCAAAAAGTCGGCTTCCGGAGGGCCTCTCTCTGTCATGGATCTTCTGGTGCTCGATGAGCTCAGACCTGCGGGCAAAGGCCTCCCCACATTCCTGACACTCAAAGATCTTGGGTCTGCGGCGGATGGCTTGCAGGTCACCGAAGGGTCCCAGGGAGTGGATCACAGAGGTCGCGTTGCTCCTGGACTCGATGTACTTCTTTTTGGCACGGGCTTTCTGGTGTTCGCGAACACTGGAGCTGGGAACTGAAAACGTGACGTCTTGGTTGGAGTCACGGGACTCTCCAGAAAGACTTGGGGGCTCAGCCCGGGGGACACTCGGGAGGATGGGGTCCTTGCTGTTGCCGTTGCTTCCTTTGTAAGTGTCGTCTCCGGTAGGAATCTTCCGGCGCTTGTTGTTAAGATCTGAGATGAAAATGGAGGACTCTGCGCCCTCGTTGCACTCAACCTGGTCATTGACTCTGTGACGTTTCAGAGGTCGTGGAGCAGGCATGCTGTGGATGACGGATGCCTTGAATTCCTTTCCTTCATAGGCGTTCCCTCCAGAGAGGACTCTGGGGTGGCTGAAGGTACCTGGGGTCTGGGTGCTAGACTCTACCAGCGGTCTGGGTTTGGTGAATACCCCGCGAATCCTGCGCATCTCTGCAGGGCCCAAGCTGTGAATGACGGATCTCTGGAAAGGCCTCCCCTGGCCGCCGTGTTCCATGCTGGGGAGTTTGGGCTTGTCGTTAGGGTTGGAGCTGATGGTGAACGGCTTGTCTTCGTCTTTGTTCCCAGGCGGTCTCGTTATAGTGTGACTCTTCTGAGATTCGGTAAAGGGCTTCTCAAATGCCCTGCCTTCAAAGAAATTCTTTCGAGAACGATTCTTCTGGTGGTCACCGGGGCCTGCGCTCTCCATCAGGGCCTCTCTGGAGTTGTTGAAGTCGAACAGCTTCTCCCGGTAAGTTTTCTGGCGCCTTTTGAGGGCCTGGCTGGGGACGAAGGTCTCCTCGCACACCCTGTTCTTATTGTCGAATGGGTTTGCTCTGGTGTGGATCTTCTGATGCTCCTTCAGGGACGACAGATGAAGGAAGCTTTCTCCACACACCTTACACTCGTAGATCTTCTCCTTCCGGCACATTTTCCGAAACTCGCCGAAGTTGGGGCAGGTCAGAAAGGGTTCTCTGGGGTCGCGCTCCAGTTCGCGCTCTCGCTCGCGCTCCCGTTCCCGCTGCTCCCGGGCCCGTGCACGCATGCGCTCGCGTTCACGCTCACGCTCGTCATCTCCCGGGTTGCCTCTGCCGTGGGTTTTCTGGTGCTCGATCAGGGCGGAGCTGTGCAGGAAGGTCTCCTTGCACACCTTGCACTCATAGAACTTGTCTTTGCCGTACATCTTCTGCAGCTCGCTGAAGGTCGGGCTCGGCATGATGGCGTCCTCGTCCTCCTGGTCCTTGCACTCGGCAAGGTACTCCCTAGCGTGGCCCTGGCGGTGCTCTGCCAGGGCAGCGCTCCTGCTGAAGGTCTCCCCACACTCCTTGCACTCGAAGCGTTTCCCTCCACCCTGGCCTCTCTGCACTTCATTGACAGCTACACTGTGGATGAAGGACTCTCCGTACTCATAGAGGTTCTCCCTGGTGTGCATGATCTGGTGCTCGACAAACTCGGAGATGACACTGAACGACCTGCCGCACTCATCGCACACGTACGGGTCCGCCCCCAGATCGATGGGCTGGGCATCCGTGCTGGGGGCGCAGTTGGGGCTGCCCATGCTCATAGCCTGCCTCATCTCGCTCCCACACTCGAAAGGCTTCTTCCGCACGCAGCTCCTAGGCTCGTGGCCTGAACCCTTCTCATCAGAATCAAAGTGGTAACGCCTCTTCCTCTCCTGAGCTCGGTTTCTGAGCAGCTCTGTGTTGACCCTGAACCCCCCCCTGAACGAGCTCCCCTCAGAAACTCTCTCCTGGATCACCGACTCCCTTTTGGTTGAGGAACTGTCCTTCCAGTTGTCGCTGGGCCTGGGGAAGCGCGGAGGAGGACGCTCGTTCAGCTCCCTGGCTCGTGCGGATTTGGAGCTACGGGACACATCCTTGATGAATTTTTCCATTATCACTCCGTGAGAAGACTCATCCTCGCAGATGCCGCGTCGGTGCGCTGGCTTTTTGGCTTCAGGCATGGGTTTCAGACCTGGAAAGAAACCCCCATATGGAATTCTTCCCTTGTCCCTAAGCTCAGGACAGTATGTGTCTGTGGTGTTTGAGAATGTGGAGTGTGGGGTCGGCTTGTCACTCACCTCGGCTGGTGCTTGGGTAGGCGCTTCTCTTGGGTCTCGAAGAGTGGCCCTGTGTCATGTGAGAGTGTCGGTCATCTTCGGCGAGCTGTACTCCTGGTTACAAGAACAAAATGGTGGCTCAAACTTATGTCGAAGACTCAGACTCATTGCCATGAATGGAACCTTTCCCCCAACCACCCACAGTAAATATCCAATATCTCATATCCAAATCTTTGAATGTCTTTCATTTTTCTTTGTGTTCATTTTCTAATCTGTTGTAATCTACATTTTGACTACCTTAAGTGTGTTTGCATCTACAAAGTCTGACAAACACCCCCGATGTGCATGAATTCAATACATTCTTGTAGTCTCCATTTTCTAATCTGTTGTAATCTACATTTTGACTACCTTAAAAGTGTTTGCATCTACAAAGTCTGACAAACACCTCCGATGTGCATGAATTCAGTACATTCTTGTAGTCTCCACCTTTTGCCCACTTTTTTGAGAGCCTCGGTTCTTTCTTAGAGGGTCTCACTTTGTAGGTAGCCAAGGCTGGCCTCAATTGGTGATGCTCAGATTCATCAGAGGGTGCTGTGACTTCAGGCATGGGCCACTCTCTTCCTTCCTCTACTTTCTCTAGCTACTCACTAACTCCATAGAACCCTCGGGTTTTCACAGCAACTGCCCACTGCCAGTTTAGGCTACACGGCTTCTGAAGGAGTCCACCTGGGGCCTGGAGTCATACATAAACATGGCCCCAGTCTATATAATATATTTTCCAATCAGAGCTAGATGGATTTCTTTAATACTCAAATCTCACTTCTCCACAGATGGGCAAGTTTACCAAAGACTTCCTGTTATCCTCAAGATCTAAATATACTGGGCATGGACTCAAATGACTTGAAACGAGAGAGGTGACAAGGGCTCCAGTGATGGGTTTGAAAGCGGCCAAAGGAAGTGGGTGCTTACCCAGTGAGAGCAGCTTCCTGTAGTTCTCTAGGTTGTCCTGAATTGGATTCTGAGGCTTCTTGTCCTCTTTGCGGTCCACAACATTCTGGTATGACTCAGCATCCTAGAACATCAAACACAGGCCTCTCAATGGAATCTGTCCCCATGGATGTTCAAAAAGAGAATAATGTTGGCGACATGGGAGCTACGTATATGAAGTTATATAGGAAGTGCTCACGGTATTTGGGGTTCTGAGCGATCCAAGGCAAGTGTACTAGGGGCCTACGTCGTACCTACCTTGTGCTACACTCTGAGGCAGATCCCAAAGACGCATGACACATATTCCTTGCCCTCATGCAGCTTATAATTTGGTTGGAGAGAAAAGACTCATGAAACGATTAGAGAACAATAAACAGTAAATTGGGATACAGATAATAAATGCTACATGGGTTCATTGGAGGGACGGTTCAGGGCGGGCCTGAATCGTGAGCAGAGGTTTTGCAGAGGGCCTCCGGTGGAGCCAGAAGTGGTAGGTGAGAGTACAGTATGTAAGGGGGACAGCCCATGCAGGCTAAAGAATCAGCATGCGTGGTGTACTCATGGGAACACAAAGAAAACGTGTTCTAGCGGACATCTGGTCAGACAGTGTGGTTCTGAGTACCCTTCCTGTCTCTCTACTGCACAGCATAGCTACAGTGTAGAGTTTCCAGTGTGTGTGGTTTCCAAGTAACTCAATGCATTCCAAGCTCCCGACTTAGAGCTACCTTTTCTCTTAATAGACATTTCTCTCAAAAAGAAATACCAAACTCCCTGTAATAGTCAGGAGTCTTCTCTGTGGGATTCTAAAGGACCTTTGCTTGTTGCCAGAAGGCTGTACTAGAGTTTCACTGTCTTGGTGAGCTGCAATGCTGGGGGCCATGGCACCGAGGCCTGAAGGGGATCCTGGAGGATGGAGAGGGTGCTGTGGGAGTCTATAGGCTTTGGAGCTGGAGAGAACTGTAGGGTCAAAAGCAGACTGCACCATTGGTGAGCCGTGCGACCTTAGATACGGAAGTCTTTCAGAGCCTCAGGTTCTTCACTGTAAAATGGCGTGAACTTGCAGTGTTGCAACATTGTGGGCCAAAGTTCCACAATGGGGCTGTTGTTTAAATATCACGAGAATTATGCAAAGAAAATGCAAATGGTTTGATGTTAAATTTATTACTGTTCTGTGACTAGAAAGAGGCTGGGATTTTAATAGAAACGTGGGGGAATACAGCAAAAAGAAAAAAATATCAGGTATCATAGTTTAAGAAACTTCATCTATGCAACTGCCCGTGTCCCATCATTAAGAAGCAAACAACAAAAATTAGGGTGGAGGAGAGTAAGCAGAGTTTCAGAAATGAAAGTATTTCTAGGCTAGGGCTGAAAAGGAACACAGAAACCACACTACAGAGATTTGAGGCAGCACTGCAAACTTCCCAAAACTACCACCCAGAAAGCTACATGAATTCTTTTTTGTCGAGTGTCCCTCCTCTTTCCACATGGCAAGTAATGTGGAGGCAAGTCTCTGTGACACCCAGGTTTGGGGGGGGGACACAGGTGAACCTGTGATGACGCAGGAGAGCAGAGCCCACAGTGTGGAGGCTGCCAGAGAGCACAGCAGTCAAGAGGATGGGAGCATGAGGGACAAAAGGGTCACCGTCCGTCCCTGGGGTACCCAGAGCGCAAGCGCAATGGCGGATGCACGCGCTTTAATATTTACCCATCCGCCTCATTTGCATAAAGTCTGAGCTACACTGCTTCAGTCAAACAAGACGGTGCTTTTGTGTGAAGACAGGTTCATGTAAATGGCCTTAAAGCAGTTACTAGCTTTCTGTCTGCCATCAACTGTGATACTTAAATATTGATGCGCTGCAGACAAGATGGTGGGAAGACGGGGCATAGTCCCAGTTTTCACCGCATGAGCTACTCCTATGAGCTATTGAGGGATTCACACGTGATCGAAAAGACAGTAAGACAGCTTTCTGTTTTGTACACCCTCAACGTGTGACTTAGGCCACCTCGTGTCCCCCGCTTCTACTCTGAGTCAGTGGGAATTGGCCGCATCTAGACTCCTGCATTCTGCAGGCGCGGCCCTTGGTCAGCAACTCTTCACACATGGCCGTGGAAAGGAATGTACGCCGAAAAACTAGACAAAGCTCAACTATCAGGCACCAGCAGCCCAGCCCCGTGGGCCCCAGCCATGCCCTGGCTCCTCTCTGCTTTGCCAGATGCCTGGCTTGCACTTAATTCTAATCACAGAGCCTTTGCCTGTACTCTCCGTAAAGATTGGGATGCTGTCTAACCTTGAGCCTCGCCCATTCCTCTCAGCCCCTCAGAGGTCAAGTGTTGCTGCCCTGAAGGCATTTTCCTTTGATCCAAGTCAACATTTTTGTGAACATCACCACTGGCAACAGCATCTCAGAGCAGAGATCCTTGTCTGTCCTGACCACCGGGGGCTTGGATGCTTAATTGCCAAGGAAATGAAGACTCTGCCTCTGGCTCCTGCCTCCCTTCTGAGGCCTACTGATGCCAAGGCTCTCTCCTCTTCTCCAGCTCAAATCCCTTGTCCTGGCTAACTTTACCAACTACCCTACCACTTCCTGCCCCTTACCCACTGATGGCTGTGACTGCTAACACAGTGTGTCTACCAAGCGCCAGACAACAGAACGGGGACTCACGACCCACACCAGAGTGTGTGACTCTCACTGACTCCTCCTAATGGAGCTGGGAGACAATCACCGCATCCATTTTTACTGATGAGGAATCTGAGGTTCAGCTTATTAGTGAGGCAGCTCAATCCCACACGGCAGGTGGCAGAGCCAGCCTTTGCACCCCATTCTCGTCAGCTCCAGAGCCTTCGTTCTCCCTTCCCAGTCCGCATTCTAAACTCACAACTTATAATGCTCCTGACTTGGGGGGAGGGCACTAAGAAGTTTGGAACCCTTCTGCTGCTTGCCCTATCAGTTGAAAGACAGGCAGCAGTGACCTTGGCCACTGGTCACCTGTTGGGATGATCCCTGCCTCCTCTTTAAGGGTGACTGAGGGCTCTCAGCCACGAGTGGGTATCTAGGGGTAGATGAAGACATCCTCAGGGAAAAGACGGGTATCTTTGGTATGAAATGAAGATAGGTTTTTTTTTTCTGGAAAGAGAGGAAACCTGAGCATACCTGGGAACGAGACTCATAGTCCATGGAGCGTCTGTCATCATCTCTGTCCAGTTCAAAATGGGGTCTTGACATCACAGGAAGGGAAAGATCCCGATGAGGCAGCCCTAGAAGGAGGAGAGACATCAGGGGGTGCAAGACCTGGTCCAACACAGCAGGGCTCAGGTATCCCTGCCAACCTCAGAACCTGCCTGGGATGTGAGTGTGTTCAAAAAGGGTGTATGTTTTCTGTGCTTCCCGTGGAAGGGCTCTGCAACACCCCAGCACCCCTGCCTCATCCTTCCTTCCTAATCTTAGAGTCAGACTCACGCCACACCTGTATGGGTCCAGGCATCCGAGACCACAGATAAAGCCTAGAGGGTCACCATAGGGTACCCCCAACTGTTGGCAAATGTGGTGGGCTTGAAAATCATTTCCTGAGCACACTTTTCGGATGCCCTGCTGATAAGTGCAGTATCTTTCAAGTCCAGGAGGAACAAGAGAGAGTCTGTGGTGGCATGAATACCGATAGCACATTGACATGGTGTTTATCCGCTCTATTCTAATTCGGCAGTTTCTCCCCATTTTTGCATGAAGCCATGGCAGGCAGTGCTGTCGTAATGAAAACCTGTTTGCTTTCCAGGTCACCTCTCTGTCTGTGGTACTCATATATTTTGTTCATTTTTTGTAGCAATACAGTGTGTGTGTATGTGTGTAAACATCTAGTTTTCTTTAAAAATACATCTGCTTAGGAAAAAACGGGGAGTAAACTACAGTGGCAAGAAATGGCTCTGCTGAGGGAAAGTTCAGAAATGAGAGCTTCAAACTAAACACTTTAGTACCAGGAATACGGCCCAAACTGAGTCCTCGGGCCTCAGGAGGCCCCTGTGCACGCAGCCTGAGCCGCGGGCCCGCAGACAACTTACTGCTTCTGGCGTTTCTGGTATATGGCCAGCGGTCCCGAGGCTCCACTTCTCTGCTCCTGCCCCTGCGCTCCTGGTCACGGTCACCTAGGCGGGCCGGGCATTTGAGTGGTCAGAAGCGCTTTGACATAATCTGTGTTTCCTTCATGTGTGCACACACGCCTCCCTCAAGGAGATGGGCATAACTTGGAAAGTTCTAGACTCACAGACTCAGTCGCTATCCTACAAGCTTTTCCCAAGTGGGGCTTGCTTCACAGCAAGGACTGGAGTTACGTCTGTAAGCTAGCGCCACTTCAGACCTCCCAATTGTTTTTCTCAGCTTCGACGTGGTCAAGTCCCCATCCAGGAAAGGGACTATAGACATTCTATGTCTAGCACAGGCCAGCTGACTTCAAATTGCACCACGTTCTACTGGAAGGAACCCGAGGAAGTGGAACACAGGTCCACTAGGGGTAATTCTGCTAGCACAGCCTTAAGTAGATGCTAAATAGTATGTTATGGTTTAAAACACAGCTGCATGCCATCCCATTGTAGGTCTCTATTTTGATATAAAAATGCCTCTATTAATCCGCTCTCCTCAGCTCTGTGAGTGATGCTGAAGCCTCCGGCATCATCTGTGCCTTCACAGAGGCCTTCTCATAATGAGGCGCGTGGTGGGGTGGGGTACTCACTGCTCAGAGAATGGGGTGGGCGAGGTGGTGGGGTGGGGCACTCACTGCTCAGAGAATGGGGTGGGCGAGGTGGTGGGGTCTCTCTCCCACTTCGGCTCATGTCGTCGTCACTGGTCATGTCACTGTTGGTATCGTCTGAGAAGACACCAGACAGTAACTCAATGCTTTTGCGTCGCTGGCCTATGTTCTCACTTACAGCTACCTCTCCCCAGCAGTTTCAGTGACCAGAACTTTCCTCTTCATGTCTGCCCCTTCTGTGGCCTCTGTGTACACCCGCTACCTACAGGCTAGGTGGGGAACATGACTGGGACCATCTCTACTTAACACAAAAGCAGCCGACAGGCTGGAAGGTTCTCTACCTCAGGATGGCCCACTTTTCTTCTGCTGGCTCAGTGGTGGTTCTTAGCTGAGGACAGTTGGCTTTCCAGGAGTCATTTGGCCATATATGGAGACATTAGGAGGCCAAATCTAGTGAGTGACCCTATTTCCTTACCCCTCAAGAGAGAATGTCCAGACCAGAACAGTCATGGCAGTAACTAAGACACAATCCTAGTAAATGCTGTGTAAGCTGACTAACGTTGACCTCTGCAGTGCCTCACCTTCCTGGTGGTACATCTTGTAATTCTCCAGTGGAGTGGTGAGATTTTCACAGTTGTCTATTTGGCTCGTACCCGAGGGCTTGAGCTTTTCAGGGATGGTCGGCTGATCTCCTCTTGCTGTGAGGGTCTGCCTGTAACCAATTGAGGAGGAATTTTCAGAGCCCGGGCAGGGTTTTGTGAGGCCCAGTAAATTCTACACACAGTTAGTGCCAATGCCTCTTCTGAAAGAACTCAGATCCCAGGGGTCTCCTCCTAGGATGGCATCCGCCTCTTTTAGTCACGCCACTCCCTAGCTCGCACGGAATGCCTCAGGTTCGGTGGTAGACATGTGATTTGGAGCTAGCATTACTCAGATTAAAAGGTCTTATTTGGAGGAACGAACACACGAGTCAGCCGAGAACACGCGGCAGTCTGTGATAGCACGAACACACCTGGACCCTGGAAGGAGCCATGTGCACGTAGCAGGAGTCGAAGGCTGGACATCAACATCGGAATAAGAACTGCCCCAGAACTACATCTGAGGAGCTCTCAGGCTAACTGGCTATGTGACAGTGGGCAGTTCACCAAGTGCCTTGAACTCTGTCATCTGTGAGATGGCAGTGGCACTTACAGTCCTTCATAGCTTGTCTTCAATAAGCTAAGATCCCTAGGAAGTTTAACTTGCCAATGGAAAGCATAGGGGACGTTCTCAAGACCCCCAGCCATGACTAAGACTGGATGTCAGCTCTTCTTTGGCCAAAGTGTCAAGGGGGATAACATCAGAGGTGGACCTGACCCTACCACTTCTGCCCTTAATGCAGTTGTTACAGCACAATATGCAAAGAAATGGATGGCCATACAGAAATGCTAATGGTGCTCAAGTATGAGCACTGTGGTTACAAATGATTACATTTTCTCCTTGCTACTATCTCTAGGCCTCGGAGGCTCTACCACATCACCGCTGACTGTGTGTGCTGTTTCAGCTTAAAGGCAGTAAGCCCAGTCTCCCATGTGGACCAGTACATTTCAGGTGCCAAGTAGGTGCAGTGGCTGGGAGCTCCCGACTAGACAGTGATGGACAGCTCCAATACTTCTATCAGCTCCTCCACAGTTATACATCGTTCTAAGGGGTATCAGTTCCAAAACTTGGCCCTCTGGGGGCCGACATTCTGTGATTATTCTTGCTGTTCCTCGACTGCCAGCCATCTTTTCTTTTTGGGAGTCTGACTGGCCTGGAATTCACCACATAGACGGATACACCTATCTTCACCTTACCCATACTGGGATTACAGATATCAACATCACAGCTTTTTCCTTTATTTTTCTGTGTGAGACAGGGTCTGGAACTCAGTAAGTGGACCAGTTAACCTGAATTCATAGATATATGCCTGCCTTCCAAAGTGCTGAGACTAAGGGTATGTGTCACCATGCCCAGCTTCACACCGGAATTTCATTTTTTTCTGAGACAGGGTTTCTCTGTGTAACAGCCCTGGCTTTCCAGCAACTCACTTTGTAGACCGGGCTGACCTCGAACTCAGAGAGATTTGCCTGCCTCTGCCTCATGAATGCTGGGATTAAAGATGAACACTGTTACCCTGTCTGAATTTATTTTTTAATATGGATTCTGGGGATCACTCTCAGTCCTGATGCCTGCAAGGCCAGCACTTTACTGACCGAGCCACCTCTCCAGCCCATGAGGATAGAAAGATTCATTTGCGAATTTTAAAACAAGGGGAGGGAGGGGCCTAGAAACAAAACAAAAGTGGGATACCATTCCTGTTTGTGTGCTTGCAAAGTAGTGAGCACACTTTGCATGCTGCTTGCAGAACTGCAGAGCTCATCAAAATTAGAAGTGTGTATATTGAGTCCCATCAGCTCCATGCCTATGCTACCCCTGAGAGAGTCAAGAACAGACAGCAAGAATGGCAGCATTCGAGTGTTGTTGGTGATAGACAAGATGTAGTTTATCTAACAGTGGATTATATGCACCCTTAGGCAACTCTAACACACTGGAGGGCAGAAACACTACAATGCTTAATAGCATCAAACGAAATACCCATGTGTATATCCTAGCACCGGTCCCCAGGGTAGGGGCTCACTAGTCTTTTTTATTGCTGTGTTTTACAGCAAATCTTTCTTGTCCATAAATGCAAAAATATTTAATAAGTCTAGCAAAATCTAAAAAATTAATTATGCATGTCCATGAAAGGCTATCCTACCAATCCAAGGACAGTGCTCTTTATAGATAATGAATTAAAGGGGTGCACTTTTAGATAATAAATTAAAGGGGTGCACTTTACAGATAATGAATTAAAGGGGAGTGAGCCCATATGCACCATTCCATTATTTGCACACAATAAAGATCTACCTCAAATAAATGCAGAGAAACAGATTAGTGTTGGGAAGAAGGCATTTCCTCTACCACAAACGCCTTTCCACACTATCTTGGAGGCCCTTACTAATGCAATGAAAGGAAAAGATGTTAATACTGTCTTGTTTTAAATATAATGCTGTGTGCTATATTGTGCTATTTTCTCCTGAAAAAGATCTTATTGGTAAACATAGCAATGGAAAATCCCATTAATAGCAAAATAAATAAATCCCCATAAATATGCAAGGAAAAGATGTTAATACTGTCTTGTTTTAAATATAATGCTGTGTGCTATATTGTGCTATTTTCTCCTGAAAAAGATCTTATTGGTAAACATAGCAATGGAAAATCCCATTAATAGCAAAATAAATAAATCCCCATAAATATGCTTACAAAGTACCTACAAATGTGGAGAGACATTTAAAAATGTATAGGAAGACATAAAATTTATATCCTAAATAAAGACATGCATAAAGTACATGCTCTCATACTCACATATACTCTGTGTGTGTCTGTCTCTGTGACTCTGTCTCTCTCTCCCACACACACATTCTCTGTGTGTGTATCTATCTCTCTGTTTATTTGTTACTGTGTGTCTCTCTGTCTCTGTGTCTCTGTCTCTGTGTCTCTGTCTCTCACACACACACATTCTCTGTGTGTGTATCTATCTCTCTGTTTATTTGTTACTGTGTGTGTCTCTGTCTCTTTGTGTGTGCCTCTCTGTCTCTGTGACTCTGTCTCTCACACACACATTCTCTGCGTGTGTATCTATCTCTCTGTTTCTGTTACTGTGTGTCTATCTTTGTCTCTTTGTGTGTGTCTCTCTGTCTCTGTCTCTGTTTCTCTCTCTCTCTCACACGCACACACAGACACAGGACTTTCTTGTGAGAAGCTTTGACAATTCAGCTTCTAGAGACTAACTGTACAGAAACAACAGTAGCATTCTGAAAAGGCAGGTGTAGGAAAGGTGGAGACTGTCTGTAACATGATCCTGATGTACAAAAACATGTTCTGTCCCACACAAGGAATATAAAGAAGTCCAGGTATGCACTTATGTGGAAATATACACATATAGGGGCTTAATTCAATTATACAGGAAGAATCTTTAAATCAGGGCAAAAAAGTTGGGTTATTTAATTGTGAATTATTCTTAGGACTAAATAAAAGGTTAATTTCAACAAAAGAGACAAGAGTAGATAGCCATAGCTTTATAGTGTTGGCTCTATTTATTTCCAAGGTTAGACAGCCTTTGACCTTAGCAAGAACCCAGAATTTCCCTAAGAAATTATGCATTTCAATTATACCTCTCTGGAAGGCTGAATCCACTGCAGCCCACTGACAAATATATTGTAACCTAACTAAAATAAGTCAGTGTACCCAGAAGAGAGCATGCCTCCTGAGTTTATCAATAACTGGAAGTGAGAACAAAATCTTTTCAGATGCTGTAACCTAATCAGTGAGTCACAGTGTTGAGGAATGTCACAGCTTTATTTCCTAACTACAAATGTAAAACCCAGCAACACATTCACAAACTCTAAAACTGTAAGCCACACCCACTGATCACATTTACCAGTATCACTAAAACTTTTCATTTTAATTTTATTATTACATGTGTTTCTCTCCTCCTATTACTCTCCACTTTATTTTTTGAGACATTCCTTCATTGACTCTGGCCATTTTGCTTTGGCAAGACTCTCTGGCCACTGACCTTTCCCAGGCCCTCACTGCTGAGGTTACATGTATAGGCGATCGTACTCAGCTTTCATATGGGTGCTAGGGATCTGAACCCACATCCTCTAGTTTGCATACCCAGCATACTGAATACCTGCTGAGCCACTCTGCAAGCCCTACTAAACCTTTGAAAATCTTGCTGAAAATACACTGATTTGTGTGTACATGAAAACAATGAAGTTGACTAGGAAACACTCCTAGACGAGGATTTTGAGTTTGAAATGGCTGGTGAATGGCCTGATCATACATGAAAACTACAACTGTGTGTTTATCTAGATGTATGGAAGGGTATATATAAACTAAGCTGGGAGAAAACATTCCTCATGAAATGGAGGAACCAAAATCACCAAGACATGTTAATAAAAAAGAAAAAGTTCTATTTAGGGTGATATTTTAAATGCCCAATCAGTCTTTGGGTCTGGTTATCTAGGTGTGTGTGTGTTTTAAATTTGCAACTATTTTAATAATAAAGTTTAAAATAGAAACCTATTTTAAAAATTAGAAAGAAATCTAGTTTCTTTTTTTCTTCTACATAGTTTACTCTGCTTAGCAGCCCTCCCACTGCTCTGCTGGGATCCCCAGGACAAGGTCTCCTTCCTCATTGACTCCTGTATCTCCTGAAGTCTGCCTGCCACACCCTGTGGATATTTGTGTTTGCTTTCCCTCTCAATGCATGCTCAAGGGGGCTCCAGGTACTGAACCCTCCCTCCCCCAGAATCCGACTTCATCCTGTTTACAGACCAAGACTGAATTCTGGCCCCATGGAAAACTCATTTCTTTCATTTCTTCATTGTCCCAGCTGGATACTGGCCAAAGGCACCCACAGATACTACTAGCCTGACTCTGCGCTGGTACCGAGGGAAGGTAAAGAGAGAGGGCACGTGATGTGGGCTAGTAAAGAGTCTGCCCTTCCCATGCTGGCCGTCTTTCAGCTTCGCGAGAGTCAATAAACACAGAGGCCTGAAGCAGCCTTTTGTATGGAAAACAAGCTGCATTTACGGCCTGGAATATGTACAACCACAGGTCAGCGGCACTGTCTAGTAGGAAATTGCATTGCCATGTGGTCTGTGTAGCCACACTGATGCCGACCAGTATTATGTAACACTTTATTTCTACCTCACTTTAAAATTACAAGAGGAGAGTGGGCGTGCAATTTAGCATAATGCATAATAGAGTTCATTAGGTATCCTTTGCCTCAAGTGGGGAGTGGGGTGGGATTTTGGCTCACAGAGAAACCACGGGTGAGCATTCTGATAAGCAGGGGCACACATCTCAGGGGATAAGTGTGTCTGGGGCTATGTGTAATAAGAGAGAAATCATGTGACCTTCCAGCCCTTGGTCTCAGGCTCCCAAATTCCCCCTCACAGGAGAGAGAAGCTCCACCCATCCCTCCTACCCCATCTCTACTTACTTACTTTGGGCCCTCATCATGGCGCACCTACATTCAGCCCACTAACTCAGTCTACCTACCTCATGTAAAGGGGGCTGGAATTGAGAACTTTAAAGTCAGGAACCGAGGAGGTTACTCTTGTCATCGCTCAGGGACAGCATGGTGTGCAGTCTCCTCTCTTCTTGTTTGTTCCAGCCTCCTGCCTCTTTCTGCAGACCAGCAGTCTCTACTTCAGTATGGTCATGGAGTCCAGTGCTGTCCCGGTCCCAGGCCTGACCTCGCCTCTCCGTTTAAGTGCCCTAACGCTGACAGGGTCATCGTCCTGTGTCCCTTCACCCCAAGCCTGACTCTTTTTTAAAAGTGCATGCTACAGCCTGACTTCTTCTAGTAGTGGGTCTCAAACTCACATAACCTCAAGGGTCACCTGGGATGCTTATGACAAAGGTAGCTATCTTTATTGTGGGACAACTTAAGAAGTGGGTGGTTTCCTAGGGCATAGGCATTGTAACTTGGTCTCTGGAAACTAGATGGTGGTTTGCCTCTTCTCTAAACTTATGTGTCCTGTCTGGTCCAATTAAGAACAAGAAAGGAGTATAAATGGGACAATGGGTTGGGTTTTTTTTTTGGTAGGGGGAGTAGGAATCTTACATGGGAATGTGAACAAGGAATAATGACCCCTACCCTCTGGTCTAGTGGCTTTCAGGTCATCTCTACAACATCCTGGGCCTCTTCTACCCAATATAAGCTTAGCACTTACCACACTCCAGCCAAATCTCCTTATTGTTGTCCATTCTTGAGGGTTTCCCCAAAGTTCAGAAAGAGAGGAAATAATAGCTAAGTGTTCAAGTTTCATGATCAGCACTAAGACAAGGCTACTTCAAAGACACAAAATGTCTTCTAGACCAGCGTGACATGTTTGACCTTATCTGAATGACCAGCTGATCTTACTGTAGGGGATAGGGGCATGGGAATTTAAATCACAATGCATGGCTAATCCAACCATCGACAGGCAAGGGGTCTTCTCTAATCAGACCTAGCCTGAATGGAGATGGTGGGGAGTGGGGGCTGGTCAGGAGTCTGGTCTTGTGATGGCCATAGTGACTGGCGTCACAGTGACCAGGTGGCTGCACTAGGCTGTCTTAAAGGCCAGTGCCATCAGGGTTCTTCTAAACCTTCTGTTCTGATTCATACTCACCCATCAACCTCCTCATTATGCTTTCATTTCCCATGTAGGTTTGCCTACAGGGAGAGAATTGGCTGATCACACACTTTCTAGTATTTGGGTCCCTGCTACATTCCTCTCCCACCACGGATTTCTGAAGCAGGTTTGAGGGAGCATTTTGTTCTAGTTCCCATGACAGTAGAGTTTTATGTGAAGTCCCTGAGCTTTGTAAACATGTGGGTGTACACACACAAACCCTTCAGAAAAGGAAGATCTCTAGCTCTTTGTAGGCTTGGACACCATACTGGATCCCTGGGGGCTTTCATGTGGGCCAGGAAAACACCAACCCAGCTCCAGGGGCCCGCTCTGCTATGTTAGCCCCTCCCCAGGCAGCGCTCCCCCGAAAGCATAGCCGGCTGTTTTGCTAAGCACATTTCCTTACTTTCCAGGTAATAGGAGTTCTCATTCGGTAGGGATAATACCACTCACTTCTGGAGTGCCAGAGTCTGGCATGATTCTGTCCCAAATAGGCTGAGTATCAACACTTGCGGATGGATTGAACAAATGGACAACCTTTGGATAGTCTCCTCACTTCTCCTCATCATGTCATTCATCATGTCTGGTCTGAATCAGTCAGCAAACTAGTGAAAAAGGGAAGTTCTGTGAGGTCTCCCCTCTTGGCACCACTCCAACATGCCCCCTTCATGTCTTCCAGTGTTGGGACTCCAAGCCAAGCCGTCTCCCCAAACCAAGTGTGGCTAAACCCTGCCCTCTGCACCTTGCAACCAGATGATCCCTACAAAAGTACATGTGATCTTCGTGTCCCTCTTGTGGTTCAAACACCTCAGTGGCTTCCCATTGCATTTCCGGTTAAGCCCAAGTACTTACCATTGACTTTTAAGGCCTGTCATAACGCAGCCCTCAAACTTACCTTCCCTCACCTTTTCCGTCAGTTATCACCTCTTCTCTTGCTCCAGACATCCTGGGTTTCCAGCTCCTCTCTCTGCAACCCTGAGGAACATCTTTGACCCCTCTGATCAGGCTATTCTCCCCGTGAAACATACCATTTATAATCCTCCAGAGTTCAGCTTTAAATGTGGCCTTTCCCAGATTAAGGTCATTTCTCCATGCAAATGTGTACTTTCAAGGGCACAATGCAGACAATCACGTTTTACGAATTTTTTTTAATTCCCCCGTTAATACTCCATGAAAATACTTCCTTTCCTAGTTGAGATGGTATTCCTAGGACATGGCACAAAGTGTATACTAGAGTAGAATTTCTCCTGCTTTTTAAATCACCCAGCAAAAGGCAAACAAGAAACCTGAGTGTCAGGGGGGGAAGACAGGAGACTGGAAAGAAGGGAGTAAGGCTAAGGGTGCAAATTCTAGCAACTTCAGGACCCACACCAGACAGGTATACGTGTTCTGGAGAGTACAAAGGGTGTTCTTATAGTGTGTAGCATATATATTCACCAGGAGAATGTGAAGCAAAGGGAATACTTCAAAGATGGGTGTGGTGCTCTGAGGTGTGAGTATGACTCACCTGGGCCAGCCGCCTAGCTGTTGGAGGACAGTCTTCCTCTTGCCAGTTGTCTCCAAGAAGGATAGAAGATCAAGAAGGTAGAGCTGTGGGGGAAAAAAAGAAAACATGAAGCGCCACATCTATTTTACCATTACAGTGTTCTTCGGGTGGGAACTCACCCCAAGACAGCTTCGCCTTTGCTTTTCCTACGGAGGCAGGCATCAGATGAGTCCAGGACCCCACCCAGAATGAAAGGTCACAGGCAAGCAATTATTCTCAAGACGCATGCCGTGCCCTGGATTTTAACTGCAGCCTTTTCCTATGTCAAGGGCACTGAAGAAACCCCCGAGGTATCTTGGCATCTTCAGGGGGATTCTGGATTGAGGAACCAATCAGAAAACCTAATTGGTTACTAATTAGCTATGTGACATCCCTGCCCTCTACGTGCAAGGAAACACGTTTCGGGTGAAAATTAAGAGGAAACAAATGGTCAAGGAGGGGCTTAAAATTTCTGAGTAAACAGCACTGGGAGAACTCACTCACAGTTTGACAGCCACAGTGTCTCTCTAGTGGCTGCAGTCTGGGCGCTGCCGGTGACCGGCCCCCCCCCATCCCACCCTCCTACCCCCACCCCCCACTCCTATGCCCCACCCAACAACCTCTTCCCTCCCACTGCGTCTAACCCCTCCCTTTCCCCTTCTGATGCCTATGCAGTCACCTGTGGGGACATAAGATGGAGGCTCTGCGACCCCCGCCCTCTGCTGTGCCCAAGATGAAGCCTCTCCCTCGGACCTACAGGTGGCACCTGCGTAGCGAATGTCAGATGCCCCCTTGTGGCCAGCAAAGGTGGCCAGGGACGTGGGTGAGGCTGTGAGGACTACGTCAATCAAGAACAGAGTCCCTCCCCGGAGCCCTCCCCTGGTGTCATTCAAGATGACACCTGCATGGGGGGGGGATCCAGAAGCCCCCCTTGTGGCCCACAAAGATGGAGTCAGGGTGCCCCACCTCCTGGTCCGCCTCCTTGCTGCAAGCCCAGATGTCACTCAAAATGACACCTGCAGAGTGAACATCAGACGCCCCCTTGTGGCCAACAAAGATGGCGCCAGGGTGGGCGGACTTTGGCGGCCCAGTCACTCAGGAGGAGGAAGCCCCTCCCTCAGACCCGCCCCCTGCAGCCAACCCAGCTGTCATTGACTTGGGCTCGGGCGCCATGAGTGCGCCATCACAACTGGTGCCTTCCCTCTGGCCCTCCCCTAGCGGCCAGCTCAAGGTGACAACTAAAGATGGCGCCCGGGTGGGCGGGACGCTGCGGCAGCCTGGACCAGAGCTCCGCCCCTTTGCCCCGCCTCCTGCGGCAAACCCGGCTGTCACTCTGCAAAGATGGCGTCAGGGTGGGCGGGGCTCCGCGGTCACTCCCGCAGGCGGGAGGCCACGCCCCCTCGGGCTGGCAACGCCGCGGGCCCTGCCTCCAGCTGTCACTCAGGGTGATGCCTTCCACAGACAACCTCAGACCGCCTGTCTAGGCCAAGCCGATGACGTCAGCTCGCGCGACCCAATCAATCCCGAGGAGAAGGCTCCTCCCTCGGACCCGCCCCGCCCCCAGCCAGCCCCTGCGCCATTCAAGATGGCGTCGGCACCAGACTCCTCCGCAAGCCGCTAGCAAAGATGGCGCCAGACTGGGCGGAGCTCTGTGTGTGTGTGTGGGGGGGAACCCATGACCAGAGAGTCCCTCCCACTGGCCTGTCATTCAAGACAAGAACTACACACACCCACAAAGCTATGGGCGCCACGTCAATCAAGGAGGAAGCCCCACCCCCAGGCCCCCCCCTTGCAGCAGCTAGCCAGACGGGGCTTGTCATTCAAGACTCCGCCCACCGCGCATCAGCTCCTCCCAGCCACACCTCCCCCGTTTCACCAGCCAGATGGGCGTCAGGGTGGGCGGGGCTCCACCGTGACTCAGGACCAGAAAGCTCCACCCTCTTAGCCCGCCTCTTTGCAGCAAGCCCGTCCAGCTGTCACTCAAGATACACGAAGCCCCGCCCTTGGCCAACAAAATGGCGCCGGGGATGGGCCCTGTCACTCCAGATAGACCGCCCCCTTGCCGCCGGGTGGGCGGGTCGTCCAAGATGGCGCCCCGGACGGTTACGTCACTGCGGCAAGCCTCTGTGGTGGCTGTCAATCACTCACACGGGGCGACAGCCCCTCCCTCACCAGACGATGACGTCTCTCTAACCAAAGCCCAGCCACGGCAGTGCGCCGGCCTGCCGCGAGGTGGCAGCCTTTGCGCGGCAACGCTAGGGACCACCGTACACCGGAGGGTCTAGACCACCGAGCCGGGCAGACAAGACAACAATCGGGGTGCACATCTGCCGCCGGAAGGCAGGGGAGGTGTAGAGCTGGCACCCCAGACTCTCACATCACTTCGGCCTTTTTGATCTCTCTTCCACCCAGCCAAGTAGAGCTGCGCCTGCGCGGCCAATCGGCTACCCATCCAAGATGGCGCCCGGTGGGCTGGGCCTGCGGAGTCCGTCCCTCCCCCCTCCGTCCCCGTCCCCCTTGTCACTCAGCCTTAGCCCCGCCCTTGCCGCAGGGAGCCAATCAGAATAAGCCTGCGCAGCAAACCTCGCTCCACCCTCCAAGATGGCGCCAGCTGGGTGGAGCCCCGAAAAAAGGCTCTCGGCGTCTCAGCCCTGGCCCCGCCCCTACGCTGCTCTGAGCCCCGCCCACGGCCACTGCGGCAAAACAAGACCCGCCCCCCACCCCGAGGACGGGGCAGCGCATAGCGGTGGATGGCTACATTGCAGAGACCCTGCTCGCCAGATACCGCGGCGATGGGGTTAACCGGGTTAACCCGCAGAGCCCCTAGACTCTGCTAAGCAAACGAAAGGGAACCCACAGAAGTCGGTGGCTGCTCTGATGTCCCCCTGGGTGGTCTTGTGTCGGGGACTCGGGCTGTCAGCCGTGCAGACGAGACAGGGAGCCTCTCGGTTTCTGCAGGCGTTTTTTGGGTGGTTCGCCCTGAAAAACCCTATGACCCTAAGATCCCGGGACTCCTAGGGGCTCCGGGTCCTCCATAGATGGAGTATCCCTCAGATTCCAGCCCATCTGACATCCCTACGGCAGCACGGCCGCCCCCACGGGCGAACCACCTTTCCGAAGGCGCAGTTTGCAGCCTTGTCAACTACCTGCGCTGATGTGTGACATGGTTTGCCGCCCCTGGCCCGCAGCCACGCAGCCCCGGACACCGTCTGAACTCTGCAGACGGTGTCCAAGAGGTTGCATGCCACTGGGCAGGCAGGGAGCTGGCTGACTCACCTTCCCGGAGCACTGCACCCCGACCGAGGTCGGCCGTCTAGTGCGCCCACACTGAACCGGGCGCCCAGCGGCGCCACCAGCCCAGAGTGGACATCTCTCCGCTTCTCCTCCAATGCTCGTCCTCCCGCGACTCCTGACTCCCCAGCGTCTGCAGCAAGGGCTGCGGGACACCTCCTTGTCAGGGTCCTCTGCAGAGGCGGAGCTTCTTCTCTGACCAATCCGAGACCCCGTTGCCCGCCTCGGGCCCTCGCCACGCCTCCCACACCCTGCCAATCCGACTGCGGTTGTCAAGGCAACAGCTTGGCGCCAAGGCACGGGGTTGACGTCAACGGAGTCAGTGTGAGGGGGCCCCCAAGCAGGGTCTGGAAAAAAGGGGGATGGGATGTGGGTGTGAAGCGATGCAGCCCCCCCAAAAGAAATCGGGGTGAAACAGAAATACCTACTATTGATGCCCCAATGCAAAATCTAAGAAGAAAAGGGAAAAAGGACGAGAATATATTTGTCTAAAAACGGGAAAAAGGAAAAAAAAACCGTGAAAAATCGAGGCAAAAACAAATACGTTGAGGTCTAACCACGAACGATAAAGGTGGAAGAAAGGAATTTTCTGCCTGCAAAACCCAAGCACTAAGCTAATTTCCTTAATAAACGAAGAGCGATTGGAAACCACCAAGTGACAGACAAAGGCAAACCAAAAAAAAAAAAAAAAAAAAAGGGAGGGGGGCAAAAGAGATCGCAAGTCACAGGACAATACTAATGGCTGGAAGAATCATGACTTGACTCGGCACAGAGAACCGCCAACCTGAGATACCCGGTGAAGGCGGTTTATGGCAGTGCGCGGAATCGCATGCTGTCAGCCAGCGTTGCACGAATCCACCGCATAGAATAGCAAGAAATCGCAAGGGGAGTGAGCGGGTAGATTACCAAGCCTGCCTCTGATAGAAGAGATTCCTGTCTCCGGGAGAAATAACGGGGGTATCGCTGCCGTAAAGGACTCAGATCGCGATAGATTCAATGAAATAAAACCGCGTTGCTGAAGTGCGTAGAAACGGAATGGTAAGTTTGGTTTTCTCTTCTTTTTCCTTCTCATTTGTTTCTTTGTTAAAAATAAAATAGAAATGTGGGCGAAGCTTCTGGAATGATGTGCAAGAAAATTTTTAGCTGGTTACCTCTAGGAAAAGAAATGGGGGAGGGGAAGGCAGCCTATGGAAAGATGATTTTGGCTTTATTCTCCGTGACCATGAATTTCCTTGGCAGATAAACGGTATTTCTTCCCTGGCAGTAAAAATCGATGAATTATTAAAAGTTTGTTAATGTGCTATTGATGGAACCCTTTCTCGGCAAAGGAATTTAGGTAAAGGAAATAAGCACAGGTGTGCCACAGACTAATTTCGGGGGTATTTACGCAGCGTCCTTTCTTATAACCAAAAAATGTATTCTGCAGGACAGAATTGGATTCTAGTAAATCCACACAATTGTATTTTTGTGTGGCTGCTAAAACTTCGGGTCGTATATTTTTATTGGACACATAAAATGCAGTATTTTCATTTTAAACGGGGGGGGGGGCGAGCCACACAAGATCGCGGTCTGCGGATTAAAAACAGTTTTACCTAAGAGTACAGCAAATCTGATACCTCGGATTTTGATTTTAAATTTGTACTTAAAGAGTTATTCGTGATTGCTGGCTAGATAGAGACGTGTTGGGCTGGTGCACAGCTTACGCAGTTTTAAATCCCCGGACCTTAGATAGGCTTTCTCTCCTCACAGAGCCATATAAGCATAACGTATGAATGAAAATACTGTCCCTTCCTATTCAAACGCTTGCAGTGAAGCTGAATACCATACTATGCATAGATCTTTGAATCTGACTATTCATTCAGCTCAACAGGAGAGCTTAGATCTCCACCGAGATCGGTTTTGGAGCCCCCAAGGAATCATGTCTTGTTAAAGTTTTCTGGGTGGGGGGTGTATTTTAACGGATGGGCTCCATCCCTTCTATCTGCAAAACCAGTTTATCTCTGGGTCATGGGTCATGGATTCTCTGAGAATTCGGTAGGCTGTAAGAGCTCCCACAGAGATAGGACTCCGTTTCCTCAAGCTCACTAACCCTCCATACTGTAATCAATCTCTTTTCACCAACTCCATAGCCTCACTATACGCCTTTAGCTAACATACATGTCATGAAGACTTCCTTTTGACGTCTCTGAAATTGCATGACAATTTTACCAATTCTCTTCATGCTTACTCACTCAGCATCTAAAATGCAACAGTAACAACAACCCTCTCTATTGTCTCTTGTTTGCAGGGTCCTCATTCTCCTTGGCCTCTTCCCCTATCCTAGCCGACCCTCCTTACTCAACCTCTAAATGCCTCAGAACATGGCCACCATTCTTACACAACCTCTCCCTAGGTAACCACATATTTTCTAACCTAGTCACAAGGTTTAAATGCCTAGTCATACACCAGCAGATCCAAATTTTAATCCTATGCCACAGAACTCTCCATACCCTCCCAATCCCGTGTATTCGACAGTCCACATGCAAGCCAGACGTTTTGTTCATACATCTAACAAGCAACTCAAAAGCACCCAAAAGCAACATGTTAGGTGCCAGGGATTGACGCAGTTTGGTATACTGCTTGCCTAGCATGCATGAGTTCAATCCCCAGTTTCCTTTTTTTTCTTTTTCCTCATCTCTAAAATCAGGGTCAGCTGCTGTAGGCGAAAATCTCACAATCTTTTATTTCTTTCAGGATATCCCACTGACTGTATCCAAAACACACCCCAAATTTGTCCCGCAGAATCCCACCCAGTTTTCCTCGTGAGTTTCCTCTGCTCCAAACTCTTCCTTCTGACGCCCCCCCCCCACACTGCACTGAACTGATTTTGGAAGGCACGCAGAAGGATGTTTTGAAGCAAATGAAAGGTTTTCTCTCCCTGAGTTTGAGTTACCTTCTGACCCCATACTAACCCCCACCAACAAAATGCAAACAGCCGTGGTACCTCTGGCTCTTGAAACAGCGTCAGATAGGGTACTATCAAACCCATTGATCTTTTCCTTAGGCTTTTATACCTGAAGAAAACTGCCCTTACGGAGGTTATTAGAGATTCTAATATTCTAATAAGCATTGGATTTCAGGACATTTTTTTTGATTTTTGTATTTTTGTATTCCTAATGGTAGGGATGTCACGCACACACATTTTGTTTCTATAGCAGGAAGACACTCATGTGTCTGTCTGAGCCTTCTGGTCTGCTCCATTGGCCCATTTGCCTACCTCTGTGTACTAACATACCGTATTCATTAATACTGATTTGTGGTGCCTTGACCTCTGAAGGGGCTGCTCCACCCGTTGGCTTTCTAAATGCTCCCGGATGTCCCTCACCTTGTTGCTTCCAAATGAATTTTCACATGGGCTTGTCGAGTTTGATGAAATAGCCTCCCGAGATTTGCATTCATGTTTTATTAAGGCTAGAGAGTAATTTAGATAAGGTGGCAAATGTCACGCTATCAAATGCCTTCATCTCTGTATGTTCGTATCCTACAGATATGAACAGGCTCATGTAATAGGTTTTTTTTTTCCTTTAAAGGTCCTGTTTGCCTTTAGGAGGTGTTTTTCCTCCATTATTGTGGGTCATTTCTAATTGGTTATTTTGTAAAAAAATAATTTCAGATTTATGAAAGTTGTCAAGATAATGTAAAGATTCCTGTTGCTATTTTCCCTGGATGAGAACATCGTAACAGAACCTTGGCACAGGACACCGTCAAGAAATCAATACTAGCACAAAACTTGAGAATACAGACTGCGTTTGGATTTTATCCATCTTTCCATTAATGTCTGTATCACAAACAAGACTCCCAACACCACACACACACACACACACACACACACACACACACGCTCACACTCTCTCTCACATATACACAAGCAGGACCCCCAACACTACACACACACACACACACACACTCTCTCTCTCTCTCTCTCTCTCTCACATATACACAAGCAGGACCCCCAACACTACACACACACAAACAAACAGAACCCCACAATGCCATACAAAATACCAAATACATACACAAAAGCAGGACCCCCAATACCACACACACACACACACACTCTCTCTCTCTCTCTCTCTCTCTCTCTCTCTCTCTCTCTCTCTCTCTCTCATATACACAAGCAGGACCCCCAACACTACATACACACAAACAGAACCCCACAACGCCATACAAAATACCAAAATACATACACAAAAGCAGGACCCCCAATACCACACACACACACACACACTCTCTCTCTCTCTCTCTCTCTCTCTCTCTCTCTCTCTCTCTCTCACATATACACAAGCAGGACCCCCAACACTACACACACACAAACAAACAGAACCCCACAACGCCATACAAAATACCAAATACATACACAAAAGCAGGACCCCCAATACCACACACACACACACACACACACACACACACACACACAAATAGGACTCCACAACATCCCCACACACACACAGAGGGCCCTAACACCACATACACACACAGGACCTCCAACACCACACACACACAGGACCCAACACCACACACACACACACACACACACACACACACACACACACAGAAACACAGAACCCCTAACACCCCCACACACACACATACACACACACACACACACACACAGAACCCCTAACACCACATACACACACACAGAGGACCCCTAACACCACACACACACACACACACACGCACACAGAACCCCTAACACCACACACACACATACACACACACACACACACACACAGAGGACCCCTAACACCACACACACACACACACACACACACACACAGGACATCCAACACCACACACACACACACACACACACACACACTGTCTCTCTCTCTCTCTCTCTTAGATTCAGACTCTCAGAGTTTCTTAGCATTCCTCACTTTCTATAAACTTGGCTGTTAGGGTTGTACAAAGGGAAGTAAGGTATAGAACATGTCTCAATTTGGATTTAGATGATGTTTTTGTCATGAACTGACCTGCTTTATACATTTTTTGAAGGGAATATTGGCCATTGCTGTCTGTGTGTTAGTGTGCGAGCTGGTGAGCTAGCTGGCAGTGAACTGGGTTTTCTCGTTACCTGATTGTCTTTTTTATATATTTCCCAGGGATTTTTAAAATGTTAACATTGTTAATCACTGGGTTTTTTTTTTTGTTTGTTTGCTTATTTGTTTTGTTTGAAACTCGTTAACAATCGTATCCCGGCAATGAGACGAAATAACTCTGATTTCAGACTAGAGAAAAAGGACAGTCTTATCTTTGCCATCAAGTACAAAAGTCCACTGTGGATATTTTGGCAGAGCCTCTTTATTGGAGGTTATAAAATTCCTATCTTAAAAAAAATTATACCATTCATGAGTTTAATTTTATGGCTTCTCTATATTTGCTGCAATTTGATGATTTCCTATCTACTAAGGATGTGAATGCCAGCAGTTTCTGAGGTTAAAATGTGTTTACATTCCTAAGCCCTACTTAACCGTGTCTATGAGAGTCTGGTTTATACACACGTGCAGCTGGATATCATTTTTGTGTCTCAATTCACACATTATTATTATTATTATTATTATTATTATTATTAGACTGTCCTTGTCTGGCTTTGGTATCAGAGTTATACAAGCCTTATATAGTTCACACTTTTTATTAATATTAATATTATTATTGTTATTATTATTATTATACTGTCCTTGTCTGGCTTTGGCATCAGAGTTATACAAGCCTTATAAAATTCTTTAGATTGCACTTTATCATCTTTTTTTCCAATGGGATTATATTTATTATTGATACAGTTCTTGGTTGGTTTTGTGTGTGTGTGTGTTTGTTTTTTCTAAAAGTGGCTTTTGATTCTATGGACCACATTCTTTCTTCATTGTCATTTAATTTGCTCTTGATTTCGTTCCTAGTTATTTGAGCTCCTTTTTTCCTAGCTTCTTGAGTTGCATATTTATCTCATTTATTTTTATTCTCTCCTAATTTTTAACATATGTATTGAAGGCTATAAATTCTCTTCCAAGTGCCACTTGAACTGGATCCCACGTACCTCATCGTGGTTCAGATCTGCACTTTGTTTCCATTAGTGGCGTAAAGGAATGCATTTACGATTCTGAATTCTACGTAAAAAAGAAATGTCTTTTGAATGTAGATTTTTAAAACTCCACTGCATTGCAGTCAAATAGAACTAGTCTGTGAGATTTGCCATTTCTTAAGGCTTCTTTTAGTTTAAGGTATGATTGATTTGAATTGTTTGAGGTGTTAGACAATAAACAGTATTCTCTAATTGCTAGGCATTAACTTCTGTTTACGTACATAAGGTTAAGCTTCTTAACTGTGTTTATATTGCTGCTATTTTTTTTTGCTCTATTTTTGTCTGCTTTATCTATCTATTCTAAATAGTTCTAATTAATATAAACCGGGACGCCTGTGCTTTTATCCATTGCTTCTCGCAGCTTTTGCTTTAAGTAGTTCAAAGGCACATTGTTAGGTGTGAACAAGTCCAGAGTCCTTCTGTTAAGTGACACAAGGGAGCGGATCTTTTTACACTTGTAATTACTGGCATATTTAGTTAATATACCTTTTCCTTTCCATTTTCTCCTCTCCAGACTTTCTATTGAGTTGGTCGAGTTTTCCTTACTGTTCTCTATTTCCTTTGTTGATTTAGTGCATTCTTCCACTCAATTTCTGTTAATTCTTTAAATTCTTAATTTACACACAAATGTTAAAAAAAATACTAAATGTACTAAAGTAGAAATTCTGGCACACCTTAGCAATGCGTTGCGTTTCTCACTTCTAACATAATGGATGGTAGTTACACCTTTTGCTTGCTTGTTTGTTCAGTTAGCTTTGGCTTTTTGTTTTGTTGTTTTGTTTTGAGACAGGGTCTCACTTTGTAGCCTTGGCTGTCCTGGAACTCCCTATGTAGACCAGGCTGGCCTTGAACTCACAGACATCAATCTGCTCCTCTCTACCTCCTGAGCACTGGGATTAAAAGCATGCACCATGGCACCCAGCTAATTATACACCTTAACTCCCAGCCACCCCCAGATCCATTTTATAGTGGAAAATATTAATCATATGGGCTGATATATTGCTAAGTCATTCATTCTTAAGTCTCCCTCCTTCCTTCCAGGTTCATTTCCCCCCCCTCATTGAAACACCTTTAAAAGACATTTTTGAGTAACAGCATAGCCAGGTAAGGGTTTAAAGATCCTGCTTATATGTTTTCTCTTTGTCCTGACAATATTATTCCTTTGTCACCTAACACCAAAGATGAAGTCAGGTATAATGCCTCTTTCTAAGGATGCTGTTTTTCTCCACAGCCTTTAGAATTGGAATATCAGTGATCAGTTTGTGGGGGGAGTGTCTTCCTTCTACTCTGCAGAATTCTTAGCCAGTACGCCCTTAAACAGACCTTTACTGCTATTTCATTTCTATTTTTCTGCACCTATTAGAGTATTATAATAGTTTCCTTTTTGCTAATGAAAGCACCTGGATGCTTTTTAAAATTCTGGCTTTTAGATTTAGGGTTTTTTTAATGCATGTTTTGCCTGCATGTATGTATTTGCATCATACATGCCTGTATTTGCATCTGAGGAAGCCAGAAAATGGCATTATATTCCCCCTCAAACCGGAGTCAGAGATGGTTGTGAGCCTCCTGAGCAGGTGCTGGGATCTGAACCTCTGTCCTCTGCAAGAGCACCAAGTGCCCTTCACCTCTGGACCATCTCTCTAGCCCGACTTTCAACATTCTTGAAAAGATACAGTATCCATAAAATCTTCATTTATGAGAGAGACATACAAAACACTCTAGCTTAAAACTGAAAAAAATATCCATTGTCATTAAATATCTCTATCACTAGCATATCCTAAACATTATTATAAAATGTCTGTATCATTCCAAATTTATACTAACATAGACATTAGCTCAGAGTATGAACTCACAAACTTATGGGACCACATCAGTCCAAAGTGTTTCCATTTGGGCTGGGAAGATGGTTCAGTCGGTAGAGCTCCTATAAGTATGATGTTCAATTCCCAGCACCAACAGAATAAAAAGCTGGTCACAGGACCTATTTGAATCCCAGTGCTGGGGAGACAGACAGAAAGATCCCCGGGGCTTGCTGGCCAGCCAGTGCAGCCTAATTGGCAAGTTTCAGGTTCAGTGGGAGAACCTTGTCTCAAAACATAAACTGGAAAGTGATTATGGAAGACAACAGACAATGACCACTAGCATTCACCTGCACACACATGTCCAATCGAGCATGTATCATGCAATACGCACATAGTATTGTCTTCATTGCTTACAACAGTTGTTGCTTCCAAGTGTACAGTGACCTTTTCCTGAGGCAGTCCGACCTGTGACACCACAACAGGCAGAAAGAAGGCTCCAGCGGAGGAGAACTCAGCTCTTCCCTACCGAGTCTGGCGCTGAAGACATTCGAGGAGATGTAAAGTAATGCTAGCAGGTAATCTTTCGTTTCAAAAAGTCTTTTTTACCTAACGTGTTACCCTGACTTGTGATGGTTCGATCACTAGTGTTTTAAATTAGTAGCTGTACATTTTAAATGGTTTGGCTTCTTGCCTTTTAAGGTAGGTAAGAATCGGTAGGTAACAACTGCATATGTTTCTGCCATGCAGTGGTTTGCTTTGATATACACTTGTGAACGTTCACGTTGCTTTCTATAATGGTTATATGTATTTATACGTCTGTAACAAGACTTCCCTGCTCTACATCCACACCCATACATTGTTTTTTTTTTTAACAGCCATTCTAGAAGGTATGAGGTAACAGCTTGTAGTTTTAGCTTGCCTTCCTCCCATGATTACTGTCACTGAGTATGCTTTCCCATACCTGATGGCGCCTGCTGATAATAAACGGCCGTTGGAGTCCTTTGTCGTTGTCATCTTAGAATTCCTTGGGTGGGGGAGAGGAATGGAATATTATTGAGTTGTGAAGAAAATCCAAAATCACGAAATCTGCAAGGAAATGGATGGATTTGGAAAATATAAAGTCAGTGACCAAAAACTCAGGGAAAAACCAAGCACTTTGGTTGCCATGTGTAGATCCCAGCCTATAACCTATCCATGTGTGTGCAAAGCAAAACAAAACGCTTTGGTTACCTATAATGTATATATGTGTGTGTGTGTAACATACGTTAATTACTTTTGTATACATATGTACATATGCACACATGTACAGATATAAGTATGATTATAGTATAATATTAAGAAAAGTACTATCAAAGGGTTATAACAGGTGATGAGGAAGGGTAAAAGGCCAGTAAAGGACACTTGATTCATGAAAGAGGTTATAAGGACAACCGTTTTTCTAGCTTATAATCTGTCCTAGGTGTGTGTGTGTGTGTGTGTGTTTGTAAGTTCATAACAATATGTACTGGACAGTGACAGTGTAAAATCCGAGCAAAGCTGGAGGACTTCATCGTGGTCTCTCTCACTGTATACAAGTTCACGGGGATGGATAGTGTTTGGGACTTGGCTCGTGTTGGGATGTCTTCCTTCAACATGCTGTGTGATATCTTAGTCAGTGAGGTAATAAGAATAAAGTGACTTTATTTTATTTTTTTTCAATTGTTTGTGTTGCTGCTATTCAGTTACTTATGCATTTAGGATACTAACTCCTTGTCAGATACATGGCTTACATGCGTTTTCTCTCATTTCCTACGTGGCCTTTGCGCTGTACTTTTCTCTATTGTGTGGAAGCTTCAAACTGGTTTTCTAACCAGCCCACCCTTTTTTCCTTTGAGTTAGGTATCAAACATTTTTTTCTAATTGCCCAAAAGATGACAAGTCTCATCTGGAATTCAAATCTTTAGTGCATTTTTAGTTAATCATTGCCTGTTGTATAATACTTATTATAATTTTTTTCCACTAGGATTTCAATGACTATCTTGAGCCTATAGGTCACACTGCATAGTGCTGATGTTTAAATCATAATTTTCAAATCTATGAACATGAGAAAAACTTCCATTTGTTTATATTCTTAGCTTTTATCAGCGTCTTCCAGTGTTCACTATATACATCTTTTACCTGCTCTAATTTACTCCTAAATACTCTTAAAGATGATACTGTAAACGGAGCTGTCTTTTTTGGTTGTTTTTTTCAGCACGCATATGCGTCTCACACTCACACACACACACACACACACACACACACACACACACGAGATGCCAAGTGTGCCTTGGTATGTAAGGTCAGAGGACAACTTTCGGGAGTTGGTTCTCTCCTTCCACAATGTGGGACCCAGGGGCTTGAACTAAGATTGTAGTTGCGCCTGGCAGCGATTGCTTTGAACCACGGAGCCATCTGATTGGCCCGGGTTTCTTGATTTCTTTTGCAGATAGTCTATTATTGATGTACAAGGTACTGGTTTTCCATTTTGATTTTGTACCCTGCAAGTTTCCTGAATTAATCTATTAATTCTGGCAGGCTATTTTTATGTTGTCTTTAGAGTTTTCTATATCTAAGATCTTGTCAACTACAAACAGATCATCTTACCTTCTTATTTTCTAATTTCCATGCTTTTTGTTTTCCCTGGTGTTATTGTTCTAAGTGGGAATGTCAGGATCATATTGACAAGACATGGTAAAAGAATGCAGTTTTTTTCTTGCCAGGCATGGTGGCACACACCTTTAAAATCCCAGCATATGAGGCGGCAGAGGCAGGAGGAGCTCTGTGAGTTCAAGGCCAGCCTGGTGTACACTGTGAGCTCCATGACATAGAAAGACCTTGTCTTAAAAAATTGCCTTGATTCTTAGGGGGAAAGCTTTCTGTATTTTGTTTTATCATCATTATGTTACTGTGGGTTTACCAAAACTGGCCTTTGTTGTGTTGAGGTGCACACGCTACTACACTTAGCTCTCTAGTCTTTATTCAGAAAGGATGTTGAACTTGGAAATACTCTCTCTCCATCTACAGAGCTATGGGTTGGTCCTCTGCTATTGAAGGAATATGCCTATGGCACAGAGCGTGACTAGTGACTGTTAAGACACCCTCCCCTCCCCTTGACCATGATACATAATCTTTTAATGAGCTAAACTTAATTAGCTGATATTTTGTAGAAGATTTTTGCCTCTGCGTTCATCAGGAAAAGTCACTTTTATTTTCTTGTAGTATCATGACCTGGATTTAGTGTTAGCATAATGCAGGCCTTGGGAAATGAGTGTGCAGGCATTCCCTTGCCTGCAGTATCTTTGAACGTCTCTGAGACATGCTAACATTGCTTCTTCATCGAATAGTTAGTTGGATTTACACCTCAAGTCTTCGCATCCTGAACTTTTTCTCTTGGGAGGCTTTCAATATAGATTCAACCTCCTTAAAAGTATTTGGTTAGACTTTTCTAGTTCTTTATTAAGATTCAGTCTAATTGTGTGTGTGTGTGTGTGTGTGTGTGTGTGTGTGTGTGTGTGGTATGTCTGTGGTGGTGTGTGCTTGCACAGCACGTGTGAACATGAGTTCCATGTCCAAGGAGGCCAGGAAAAGGTGATGGATCCCCTGCGGCTGGAGTTACAGACAACCGTGAGCTGCCTCAGACTTTCAGACAAGCAGCAACCACTGAGCATCTCTCCAGCCCCAGCGTTTTAACTTCTTAGTAAAACTACAGCTGCCCCTCTACTGACAGTGGCACTATGTTCAAGTAAGCCTTTCCATTGTAAAGTGAAAGTATCTCAAACTCAAAACAGTTTAGAATACTTGCTGCACTTGCAGATGACCTGGGTTCAATGCCCAGCGCCCATCCACATGACAGCTCACAGACATCCCTCTCTGCTTCCTAGGGATCCAAAGGCCTCTTCTGGACTCTTTGGGCACCAGGCATTAACGTGTTACACACACACACACACACACACACACACACACACACACAGGCAAAACACTCTTACATACTAAAGCAATTAAATAAAAATAGCTTAACAATGTGAACACTGTGAGATGTTTGTAGCTTAGTAGTTGTCTAGTCTGCACAAAGCCCTGTATCTGACCCCCTAGTTCTACACAAAGCTATGTGTGGTGATGGACACTCATAACCCAGCAATTGAGAGGTGGAGGCAGAATGTTCAGAAACTCATGGTCATCCTTAGCTACACATGAGTTCAAGTCCAGCTTGGGCTACATGAGACCCTGGCCCAAAAGAGAAAAAAAATTTTTAAATTTAAAAAGAAGGTATCTGTTGTTTAGCCTCCTGCTCATGTGGCTGATCGGGAGTGATGGCTTCCTGCCCAGATTCCCTAGAGAGCATCATAGCACATATTGGTACCCTGGGAAAAAGATCAAAATTCAAAATACAATTGCCAATGAATGCAAATTGCACTGCCTCAGTCCTAGAGTCAGAAATAAAATGCAAGTCAAGTCTTCATGAGTCAGGAACCACTGATATCAATAGACAGAGCCCACATAAGTAAAAGTGGATACAGCTGTCCTCCAGTCAATATTTGGGCCCCCACTACTGATAAGGGCAAATGCCAGGTCATGGGTACGGCTCCTTTCAAATGGAATTAAAGTGGTTCCCATGTGAGTTCATTTATTCAATTAGCTATGTCTTTAGAGTTTTAGTCTCTAGCTTAGAAGACACATCCAGTAAGTAAGCTGACAGATAAACTTACAAAGATTATGCTAAACACTTAGAAGGAGAAGGAAGAGGAGGGAGGAGGGGGAGAGGAGGAAAAGGCAATTGGGGAGGGTGTACTTCTACAGCAGACACAGAGTAATCAACACACACACATACACACACACACACACACACACACACACACACACGAGGAAGGGAAGCTAAGACTAAATTTTAAGAAGAGCCAGGTGTGGGAAGAGCAAGAGCATTCCAGATGGATAAAATTACGATGTACAAAACCATAAATGCTAGAAAAATAAACAAAAGAATGAAGGAAAAGAAGGAAAGCAGGCAGGCAGACAAACCACTGAGAGTCTGGAGGACAGTGTGGGGCATGAAGTGGGACCCATGAGATTGTGCGGGTGTGGAAGACTGAACAACTCATCAGGAGCCAAGGCCAGCAGACTTGCCGTTCAATTCCAAATATAAAGACCCGGGGAGACCGGCTCAGTGGCTCAAGCATGGAAATCGGAGTTCAAATCCCCAGGACCACCATAAATGCTGGGTGGGCATGGCAGCATACCTATAATCCCAGCTTGGGAAGCAGGGATAGGGTTCATCAAAGCAAGCTGGCTAGCCACACTAGCCTATCAGAGAGCTCTGGGTTTGCTTGAAAGGCCCTGCCTTCATGAATAACATGGAAGATTGATGGAGGATGACTGTGGATAGCAGCCTTGGGCTTCCGTATGTGCACATGCAAACGCACATATATGCACACGCACGTGCACATGCAAACATGCACACACACATCTTCACACATGCAAATATGTACACACATACATGCGTGCACACATATGTGCACATGTGACCCAAACACGTATTCTCACACATGCAAACATGTAC